CTCATATTAGGGAAGGGATAAGGAAGGAGGGGTTTCCTAGTCAAATTACTTTGGGGAACATTTGGTTAAACAGGGTTCTTTATTGTGAATTTTCTTTTTTTTTTTTTTTTTTAATTTTATTTATGATAGTCACAGAGAGAGAGAGAGAGGCAGAGACACAGGCAGAGGGAGAAGCAGGCTCCATGCACCGGAAGCCCGATGTGGGATTCGATCCCGGGTCTCCAGGATCGTGCCCTGGGCCAAAGGCAGGCGCCAAACCGCTGCGCCACCCAGGGATCCCCTATTGTGAATTTTCTTAACCCTTACTCTACTGATGTCTTGAGCCAGTGCCCCAGGAGGGCTGCTTTTTCACAAACTCATTCGGTCAGAGAGCATTTTACAGGAACAAAACAAAATACCTGGTGGATAGATTTTGGATCAAGGAGTTGGCATTCGATTAACATTTTAATATTTTAGGTCTTCACAGGAGCCTGGACCTCTCTAGAAATCTCTGGTGGCAGTTTTCTCTTCACTTGTGACAGGCTGGGGTGGGAATTGAGGCAAATCACAGAAGCTTTATTGCTCTGAGCCCTGTTCATTCCCGACACTTGGGTTTCAGTTGGCTGAGCGAAGGCTGCTTGTCCAGTGACATAACCAGGAGCAGTTTGATGGGAGCCAGCTAAGAACACAGGCTGAGGCTGCTGTAATGAGTGTGGGGCACTTCTCCTCGGAACGGGTGCACTCGAGTTGTCCTTTTGAAATATCAGTACTAATTCACAGCTTACGGGCTTCAGCCGTCCTGTAGCCAAGCGGAAATTAAATCTGTGTGACTCTGATGCTTTGTGCCTTTGGTGGAGAGCTGACTGATGCTCGTTGCTACGTTTCAGTTAGTGTGGTGGCTGGGTTCATGACCCCCAAACCGTCAGTCATGAGGGTCCCGGTGGGCCCTGACCTCACCGGTCCTGGCAATGTTTTGTTGGCTCTGACTTCTTGTTGAGTGTCTGTTACGTGTGCAGCTCTGAAGGTACCATGGTCAACACGACAGAGGCCCTGCTGTGCTGGGGCTCACGATCCAAGGGTAGATGCTGTCAGCGAGGAGCTGAACAAATAACCCCCCACAAACTCCAGGCCAGGTTCACAGACACACCCGTCGCTTTTATCACATGTTTGACCATGAGGTTTTCTGCCCCCGGGTTCCTGGTCCCCATTTTTCCTGTAGAACCTTGCACAGAATAAGGGCTTAATGAATATATATGTGAGTAAATATTCAACACAGGAGCTAGTGTTACACATGTGAAGACCTGCAGAAGGGGTTTATAGTTTAAATGCTTATTGGATGGTTCTCCCTGGTGCGCACTGGCTGCCGGGCTGAGGCGCAGAGCTGTTTTGGATGCTGTCTCCATGGTCTCTCAGCCTCCCTGACCGGTAGCCTTGGTGTGACCAAGAGATGGGGTAAGAGCCAAGAGCATGCATGCATGCCCTGGTGCCCTGGGGACACAGGGGCAGGCATGTAGCTCAACCTGGCAGCTTCCTGAAGGACACAGTGCCTGTACCTCAATGAGTGTTGGCTGTGGAAGAGGAGGTGAGGATGTGTCCTGGGCAGAAGGCCAGAGGTAATGACAGAAGCACAGTGGCGTGCAGGGGGCAGCGGCCCTTCAGTGCCACTGTAGTGGTAAGGTGGCGGTGACCTGAGGGAAGGAGCTCTGACCCTAGTCTGGGAGGGCAAAGCTGAGCTTTAAGTGTGCGTCTGACACCTGTGGTTCTGGCTGTTCTGCAGAGGCTGGACTGAAGGAAAGGAGAGTAGAGATGGAGAAAGGAGGTGGCCGGTAGCAGGGGTCGAGGGACCGGAGCCAGGAGTTAGTGAGGGAGTATCTGCTTGGGTCTCATCCAGGGTTCCAGTTCTTCAGGAAGCTGCCTGCAGAGCTGGACCCCATGTCGCTTCCATTGCATCCCTCCACCCACCCCCCCACCCCCACCCCAGCTGAGCACCGAGCCCAGTTGCAGTGCAGTAAGTAGTTTTTCCATTAGACGGGACCTCTCCTAGCTCATGCCTTGACCCTGCCCTGTGGCTTTGTCCGGTCCTGTCCCAGGGACCCAGAGGCAGCCTGCGTGACCCATGATTGCCCGAATCGCTACAGCCCCTTCTGCGTGCCTGCAGATCAGCCGACACTAGAAAGCTCCTCCGTTATCATCCAAACAGTCCTCCCTCTGTTTTGGTCCTTCCTCAGTGGCCTTCCATCCATTTCTCCAATACCCCCTTGCCCTTACTCCTCCCTCATGCCAAGTACTGTACTTAGACCCTGGGGCAGCTAGGGGAACAAGGTGCTCTCCGATCTCGTTGATCGCTTAGTAGGGGAGACAGAGCATAAACTCATAAATACCTGGTATATCTCGTTGTGTTCCCTCCTGTGAGAAAGTGTCTTTGCTTCACTGTAAGGCCAGGCAAGGTTTCTTCTACAGAATATAGTGTATGTTTAAGTCAGAGGTGGCTAGGCCTCGCCTCTCATGCTAGAGGTTGTTAGAGAAAGGACAGAAACAGCTAAGACAGGCTTGAACAAAAGTCAGCATTTGTTGGTTTAACTGAAAAGTCATTGGGGCTGGGGTTAGCTTTGAGTTGGACTGAACCCAGAGCTTCCAGCAGTGTCTCCAGGATTCAGTTTCCTCCTTCATCTCCAGCGCTGCTTCCCACTGGATTGACTCTGGTCCAAGGTCCCTTTTGGTGACGTGAGACCTCTCACAACCCCAGGATTACCTCCCACCAGCCCTGCAGCCCCAGCAGAGACAGAGCATCCCTTTCCCCAGTAGCTCCAACAAAAGTCTTAAACCCAAGTCTCATTCACTGTCAGTGACCTGGCCTTGTTCACATGCCATGGTGTCCCTTGGGGCAGGGATATGAAGTACTCTCCTCCTCAGACCTAGAGCCAGGGGCAAGGGAGGGGGGTGTGGTTCCCTAAAGAATTTCTTTAGGGGCTGGAGGGATGCTGAGCTGGCCCAAACTCCCAGCTCCTTCGTGTGTGCCTTCACTCCTTGGAGCTGGCTAGGAATCAAATGCAGAAGAGAGGTTCAGACATGGATCTGCAGCTCTGGATGCTGGGCTTGTGGGGTAAAGGGCAGTCAGTACCAGAAGCTGTCGGGTTCTCCACAGAAGTGGTGTGAATTAGCTGCTGCTGTCCACAGAGTCCCTCCTCCATTCCTTTGCTGTCATTTATTTCCTGGCACAGGCACTTTCATTCACTCCTTCATCTGATTTTGTCCAGCAACACCAGCCCCTGTACAGGGAGGGGGCTGCTTAGGGAATCATGGAGGCCTCGTCTGTGACTCTTCCACCTCCCACCCTCCTGCCTTGTAGATTTTGGCCTCATACATTTGTTCACCCCAGTGTTTGCCATGGGTTGTGCAAGGTAAAGACTGTCTCAGTGAATCAGACTCAGGGATTCAGGTACTGCGTGGCTTCAGTGTGCATGGCAGAGGGAAGGGCCACCATGACTAGGCTGCTGCCCCAAAGTCAAGACCAGTGTCTGTTCTGCTTCTCCAAGGAGTGAGAATCTGGTGGATGCAAGTGGAACTGTGTCCTTTTGATCATCTCAGTCTTGTCTCTCTTCCTCCCCAGACCTCTCCTCCCTCCTAACTGGTCTGTCCATATCACCCCCTTCCTCAGACTGTTCACTCTTTGAACCTGAACCCAACCTCTTTTACAGCACTTCCCCGAGTCCTTAGCATGGTGATCATCTGCCCCTAGGCTCCCTGTCACTTTTGTAAGATGTGTTTTCACACCTGCTGCTCCTTCCGGGCTCTTCTGTTTGGACTTCAGGAGCCACCTCTTCTCAGGGACATTTCCCTGACTCTAGACTAGCCGCTCTGACCAGCTCTCCACACGAGTGCACTCATGAACCAAAGATCCTGTCCTTTCCCACATAGCAGTCCTGCTGGGTAAAGCTGTATGTAAGTACAGATTCCTGGTTATCTTGGCTCCCCAGGACTGAGGGCTCAATGACAGCAGAGTGGTATAGTGCTCCCCAAACTCATTCATGATCCTCCTTACTTCCCATCCACTGCCTGCTCTCAGGGCTTTGAATGCTGACGGGGCCCCTGGGCGCACCCCATAGGATCCATGCATGTACCCAGAGCCACCACACCCAACCTCGAGGCAGGCAGCATCTGGGCCTTCCCCATGGGTGAAGATAGTCCTCATTCAAAATTCCCCAGCTGGCAGCAGGGACTTTCTGAGCTGCCATCCATGCAGGGGCAAGTGGCAGAGGGCTGTAGATTTGGCTTTCCCTGCAGAGGAGACAAATGGTGCTGCCTGAGAATAGAGGGTGGCACCACCCTTGTCTCATCATGACAGAACATTTCAGAGGATTTCTTCCTTCAACAGCAACTGTGCAAGGTGGACTCAGAGTTCCCTCAACTCCTTAAACCCTCTTTTTAAATGGGTAGTTGCTTAGAGATCCAGGTGGAATGTCATGTGACTCAACCAGAGCAAGCTCTCCAAAGAGCAGGAGCTGTGTGGGCAGAGGTTGCAGTCTGGTTATCACTGGGCCCTCACTGGCCTATAAGTATATAAAAGAGAGAGAGAGAGAGAGGAGAGAGAGAGACATTAAAAAAAAAAAAAAGCCTAAACTAGTCTTTAGTATTTGAAATTGGGAAGGTGCCACATAAAGATCCAACATCTCTGCCTCGTTCCGACAGGGAACGGTGGCAGCGCCTTGCACAGCTTGCTGCACCCCCACCACTCTCCCTCCGTCACTGCCATGGCTGTTCTCAGTGAGTCCTGAAACCTTTTTCTTGGTATATAACATGCACACAGAAAAGTGCACATACCCTAACATTAAGTGTCAGGTTTTCACAAACAACATGCCCACGCACCCACTTCAAAAAACTGTTTCTAAGTGATTTGATGTTCTTTGGAGTTACTAGTTTTATATTTGTTTTTTGTTTTTAACTTATTACTAATATATGTAGCTTTGTTTACTGTATGACTATAGTGTTGGGGGGAAAAAAACCAATTTTTCTTTTTGCAGAAAAACCTGCCATTGCTCCGCCCGTCTTTGTGTTTCAGAAGGATAAAGGACAAAAGGTAAGGGGCCGGTATGTTCTCTTCACATGATTACTCTGATTTGTTTTCTCCCAGAGGGCTCTCCCAGCTCACATGGCCAAGGGTGCTTCTATCTTTTAAGCCTCCACATGGGAGCTTGAAGGGAAAAGGTCCTGTGGCTTGAAGTTACCATGGTGAGAGGCTAAGACGGGCGTATGTGGAAAGGGCTCAGAAATCGTGCTTTTAACAGTGGTAGAAAGCTGTTTTCTAATTCCTAATGCTTCGTTTTAGAAATACTACTGTACGTTAGGAAGAGTAGGAGAGAGAAAAAGTAGAAGGAGCAGGGGAGGGAAGGAAGGAGAGTAATGGTGCTTAAGGGGGAAGATGACCTTTAAAGATTTTAGGGAGCTATTTTGGGCCCCAACCAACTTGGCATAAATGCATTTAGAGTAATTAATGATTAGTTGGCTTGCATTACGTATTTACCATCCATCTTTGTTATTCGTTGCTTCCTCATCTTGAATCTTAAATGTCTTGGTTGCCCTGATGTTGGAAATACCTTGCCTAATTTGTAGCAGTGAGCCAGCAGCTTGTTAAAGTCCTGATTGGTGTAGCAGTAGCATTCCAATGTCACATGCTCCTGTTTACCCAGAAGTCATTGATTTTACGTCTGCCCTGACAAATCAGTGTGGAAGGTCAGGGTTGTGTCCAAAGTTAGTTGATGTTCTGCAGTTGATGCTTCCCAAGCTTTTACAAGGACTCTGAGATTTTGGAGTGAGTGACCAAAGTGCCGCGCTGTACTCTCATGTGTTTTGAAATCCATTTGCATCTTATTGATTTGAGAGAATCTCTCTCTCTCTCTCTCTGGAGACTTGTGATCCACAGGTGAGGTGCTCTGGTGGATTCCCAATCCCCCACTCAGTGGCCAGCTCTGATGTTGGGGGCTGCTGGTCTAGAGATTTGGGATTCCTGGCAGCCCAGCTACTGCTCCTAGACCCCACCTCTCAGTCTGAGAAGAGAGGCCAGACTTCTGTGTGGCCCAGGTTGTCCTGGACTGTGTTCAAGGGCCAAGAGAGTGTGTACAGGGGGCAGGAGGGCTGCCCTATCCACCACCACACACGTACCCCCTTGCAGGGTACCTTCTTTGTGAGCCGGGGCTGATCGGCTAGGCTTGCTCTCATATTAAACTCCCATTGTTATTCTTTTATTCTTTTGCTAAAGATAAAGAATCACAACACCCGAGGAAACATTCTTCCTGTTTTGTTTCAGCTTTCTAGGTGGTATTTTCAAGACACATCACCCTCTGTGATCTCCTCTGCCTTGGGCCCTGACCAATACATATAACTTAATTACATGTATTTTTATCATTTGTCTTTTGGAGCTTCACTCACTGTGGAAGGGCTGATGCTTTTCTGCTAGCCTTTAGAAACGCTTGTGTTCAATTTCTGTTTTAATTTGTGAAAGTTGCTTCTTTCCGGTTTTCTGTAAAATCAGGATTTTCTAGAATTTTGAATTTTACTATAATCGTTCAGACTACTTTTAAATAGGTCTGCAAAACTAAGGCCTGCCACCAACACCCGTTTTTATAAGTAGAGTTTTATTGGCACACAGTCATGCCCACCCTGTTCCCAATAGCCAAGGCTGCTTTCCCTCTGTGACAGTGGAGTGAAGTAATTTGGATGAAGACATATGGCCCACAAAGTCAAAAATATTTAGTGGCTGACCCTTTAGAGAAAAAGTTTGCCAACCCCAGACTTAAAACAAGTAATAGGAATTAATAATTATTTAAATCTAAGACTTTCGGACAACCAGCAGAAGGAAACACTAAAATGTAATATTTGAAGTCCTAATTTCCACTTCAGTACTGTTTTCACAATTGAGGTGGTTCTTGTCTATTGCCTTGTCATTCAAAGGCTAACTTACATGTATGCCCTCTGGAAGGTTGGGGTGAAGCTGAATCAGAAGAGTAGCTAGGAAACTGCTCATCATCATCTTAAAATGTGCAAATGTAGTTCTTATCAAAATATTGACTCAGAGCCAACTCTAAATGGGCTTCTAAAAATAACTGATCCCCAGCTCTTCAGAGTTCAGCTCTCCGCTCCTGTCGTGCCTCTGGGACAGCATCACCGGCAAGATGCGTGAAACTGCTGCATGTTTACAAAAGAAGAGCCTCTGTAACTGTCCGGGAGAGCAGCTTTCTGAGCTATCAGGTGGAGAGTGGAATCTTCCTTCTTTCTCTGCTGCTTAGGACAGCTCAGAAGTAAGGCAGAGAGCCAGCAGCATAGCTGAGACAGCCAGCTTTGTTTCTCCTCGGCCTCCCATTTCAAGGGAGATGGGCATGCAGAGCTACAGGGAGCAGCCGTGGTGCCTCGGACAGAAATGAGAGTTTGAGCCTCTTTCAGTTCCTGTCTTGCCGACATTCCAGCCCATCTGCCCTTCACGCTGCAAAAGCAGAGTAGGGAACAGGCTATATGGGCTGCTGTAGCTGTTTTCTCCTTTTCTCTTCAAATTTGTATTTCAAAAATATTCAGGTCCTCAGAAAAGTCGAAAGAATGGTGCCATGACACTTGGGTGTCCCTCACTCACCTGGCTTCATCAGCAATATCTTGGTCGTAAATGCCAGAAGCACCTATCTGTAAGTCATGTCCATCTGATGCTCTCCCCTAAATCCTTCTGCAGGCAGCTCCTGGGAATAAGAGACATTCTTCTGTGGCCCCAATGCTACTGTCAGTCCTAAGAGAATGATTGTTAATTCAGAAATTCAGGCCTTCAGTATATATTGTCTGTAATTATGTTAACCAAATTGTCACCCAGATGTCCCTTATAACTATTTTTTTTTCCTTATAACTGTTTTTTGAGACATTTCCTGATCCACAAAGATCAAGAAGTCCCATCGTCAGCCGTTGGCACCACTGACTTGCCTTTCAGTGAACAATCTCTGAACTACCCAGTGGGCTGTGCTTCAAAGAGCTCGTGTTCCCCACCCCCTCCAAGGAGAGCTCTCCACAGGCCCAGCTGTTATTATGGAATCATGATTGAGGGAAAATATTTGAAACCAAAAGAAAACAATGAAGCTGTTAGGCCAGGCATTTTTTTGTTTTTGTCAATAGCAAAGGCACATGGTGCTTTCTGTCCTATCGAAGGCCCAAGTTGTATTTACAGCAGACTACAGATTGGTGGCAGTGGCCAGTCGCTTGGTCTTAGGACAGGTTGTCAGATGTCCCTATTGTTCCCAGCTTGAGAAAGCGGTTGACAGTTTGAACTCCAGTCCTAAGGCCTAAAATCCAGACCCAGAGCCCCGCTAATGGCATGGAATTGTCCGTCCTTCCTTCCGAGTTTTCATGCTTCCTCAAGAGGGCGCTCTTCATGAACTGTTTACATTTATGCATTTCTGGTTTTAATGGCAAAAATGAAACTTTTTTTCTTAACTGCCTTACATAGAAAGTTTTTTTCTTTTTGATGTGAAGAATTTTGAATCTTCTTAGAAAGAGGTTGTTTCATTGACTGTGACGACTGTTTGTTTCAGATACTTTATCTTCCAAAAGTTCATCTGAACAGGTGAGGCTTTAAGGTTGTACTTGCAGGGTGGCATCCGTTTAGAAGAAAGAAAGCAGTTGCAGACGTGCTAATAAGCAGGAAGTAAGGTGTCCCTGAAAGCCCTGTCACAGTATGTTTAGACCTACTGTTGATGTAACAAGCCTACCCTGTGTGTTTGAGTGTGTTTTTGGCTTTTGTCAGCCATGTGTATTTTAGGATGATGTGTCAAAAGCTATCAAAACCCTGATGTCTGATTTTAACAAACATGTTGAAGAACTACAGCTCGTATCTTGGTTCTCTAGAGCTCACTTTTCTTGTCCAGCAAAAACACTCTGGCCCCAAGTAGGAAATGCTGGGATGGCGTACATGTTTCTTTTTGATCCACCAATTTAGGCTTCATTTCAAGTTCAGTACCTCCAGGGCATTTGAACACTTGTGCCCTAAAAGCAGGCGTTGAAAAAATCCCAAGTGGTTCCAGTTAGAGATAGGCTGTTTTCCACAAAGGTCTGGGTTTAATTTTCTCTTATAGGGTGTTGGCACATGGACCATCTTTCATATCCTGAGCAGGTTTGCGGAACAGCGTGAGAAGGAAGGCCTTTGTGTGTGTGTATCTCCCCTGGATAGGAAGAATCGATCTTGGTGGCTTTTTAGATATATGGATGAGTTAACCTTTTGTTGCATTTGCCTTCCTCAGAATGTTTGAAAGTTCTCTTGAATCCTCTTTATAGAGTCCCTTTCATCTATCAGGTTCACCTTTAAGAACTAGCTCCCAGGCCCTATTTAAAGACGTTTTTGGGCAGCCTGGGTGCCTCAGCGATTGAGCATCTGCCTTCAGCTCAGGGCATGATCCCTGGGATCTGGGATCGAGTACCACATCGGGCTCCTTGCACAGAGCCTGTTTCTCCCTCTGCCTCTGTCTCTGACTCTCTCTGTGTCTCTCATGAATAAATAAATAAAATCTTTTAAAAAATAAATAAATAAAGAGGTTTTAGTCACTTCACACTCAGAAGAAATGTGGCCAGGTCTCTGGAAAGACACAGGGCAGCCACTTAGTTCACAAAGTGAGAGAAACAACTCCACGTTGTGGATGATGCCAAGTGGGAGATTTGGGGACCAGGGCCCATCTCTTCCAGGATACCGGTTTTATAACCCCATTCCTCAAGGAAAGAGTCTTGGCCACAGAGCTCTGGGTCCGTGGGAGCCCCTCCAAAGTCCCAGGAACCACCTCGAAGGATGCCAGGGATGTTATACTTTCCAGGACAAAGACTTCCAGAACCAGCTTTCTCTTGGGCTGGATATTTTCTAAATACACCCTTGCCACAGTGCTTGGGGTGAATGAGTGTGGGAGAATCCTAGGCCAAGGAGCTCCCTCCTCCAGCCGAACTCCCACCCATCTGATATGAAACCAGCTCTCCATGTCTCAGCCAGCTGGTTTGGTCACCACACATCTGTACTCATTGAGGCAAAAAAGCGTTGCCTTGATCTCAGGCTTTGGGGTTTGTTTGTTTTTTCTGTTGTTTTTTTTGTTTTGTTTTTAGATTGTATTTGTTTGATAGAGAGCACATGCATGAGTGGGGGCAGAAACAGAGGGAGAAGCAGACTGCTGCTGAGCAGGGAGTCAGACATGGGTCTCGATCCCAGGACCCTAACACCATGACCTGAGCCGAAGGCAGACTCATAACCGACTGAGCCACCCAGGCACCCCTTGATCTCAGGTTTAAGCGGAATGAATTAAAAGGTGCTGGAAGCTCTAGAGCAGAACGCACAAGCCTGTGAACCCCATATGCCCCGTTTTGTAGCTGTGTGTTATTCCAGGCTTGCCTTCCCCACCTTAGTGGACAGAAATGGTGCTGAAGGCCAACTTCCTTCAGCAGTATCCTTGCAGAGATGGGTCATTAACCCTTAGGGACAGTTAGACATAACCCCCCCACCCCCGTTTCCCTCTGATTGAGCCACCGTCTCCATTTTGGTCACCAAGAGTGTTCCTCACTCACAGCCCATAAGCATGGTAACTCCATGCTTCCTGTTTTGAAAATGGGGGCCCAGGCCTCCTGCAAAGTTAAATTGTAGCCAATTGCACATTCATTTTCCATTCTCTCATTACGGAGGGCCAGTTTTGTTGAGCAAAACACGACAGCGTATGCCGGCTTTCTTGGCTCATCCTCCCAGGCAGGAGCTGCCGAAGTCTGAACGTCTCCAGCCCTTCGATCCCTGCCCACCCCCTGCCCCATGTTACAGCCTTTATTTACATTGAAGGAAAATTGTCTTTTTTGCTCCCAGTCCTCTGCAGAGCAAAAAGACTTGTCGGATTCGGGAGAGGAGCCTCGGGGGGAGGCTGAGGCCCCCCACCATGGCACGGGTCACCCCGAGTCAGCTGGTGAGCATGCCCTAGAGCCTCCTGCCCCTGCTAGCGCTTCAGCCAGCACTCCTGAAGCCCAGCTTCTTCCTTTCCCGCGAGAACTGGCAGGGGTAAGTCCACCTCCACCCAGCACTCCACAGCCTGGGGGTCCCAACCCAGACCGGCCCCTTTTCCTTTGGGTTACTCAGATCCAGACCCTTAATCACAAGCAGCTGATGATAACTGAAAAAGGTGGTCACGATCTCTGCAGCTCCCTTTAATTCTTGCTGCCAAAAAGTCAGGAAAAAGAGTCCCCTTTTACATTGACTTTCTGAATGGGGAAATGTATATGCGCCCATAGCAAGAAGCTAATCCTGTTTCCTGAAAGAGTCATGAGGGGTCAAAAGAGGGATTGAGTAATGGGGTAGACCCTCCCCCTCCGTCCTTCCATTTTTCTTTCTCCTCTCCCTGAATTTGGGCATTCAGGTTCAGGGTCTTAGAAACAACAGAAGCCCCGACTTCCTTGATCTAGAGGAAGAAGAGGTGTCTAAGGCAGACTGCTTTGCAAGACCAATTGTATTTGGACTGTGGTTAGGCTGTGAACTGCTTGTCTTCAATCAAAGCAGGAAGAAGAAAAGACTCTTCCTTTGAATCCAGAGGGAACCCCTTGAGCCCTTTATCTTTGTATTGAGAAGGCTTTTGAAGATTATAGGTGGAGAAGATTGTGAACTCTCGAGAACAAGAAATGTCTTGAGTGTTTGGAGGTTGATAAAATGGGAAAGGTAAACATCATCCTACATTCAGGATTGAAAACTTCATGTGGGTACCTAAGCCCCCCTCCCATTCTCGTGACAGGAAACAAGGCACACTGCTCTACACACCAAGCACTGGGCAGCCATCCAGGGCATCACACTCCCAGACCTTTAGCTATCCCTTGTGTCACGTCACTAGTCCCCTGTGTTTTAAGCAAATCATTAAAATTCAGTTACAGCCACCAAACCCTGGGGCACACAGGAAGAAGTGAAGTCCAGCAAAGGTGAGGTTGGAGGCCAGTTTTGACATTTTGGAAGAGTTTATGTGGTGGGAAAAGAAGGAACAGTCTTTACAGTGTGCCAGGTGGGAGTAACGGGGCAGTCCCTCATGGCATACAAATGGGTTTGGGCCCAGTAAAGATTCCAGCCAGGAGGCACTCCACCACAGTGTTCTAGGGGCGCAACTCTTGTGAGAGTACTAGAACTGACAGAGCAAGAATGAGGAGGTGATCACTTTTTCGGTTCAGGGCCAAACAGCTCCTGGAACCTTCTCCTGAGTTGAGCGTTCTGAGTTATCATGCCTTCGGCCTTTGGAAACACAGGAAATCATGTCCTCAGTTCCAAGAACAGATGACCTTCATGTGGATCTGCCCAAGAGGCTCCAGGACCTTTTGCTGCTGCCTGGTTTGAACAGCAAGCTTAGAGAGCACCTCTGACTGAAGGGGCTAAGGGTTTTCGAATGAGAGCAGCAAATGGGTAGGTCACAGAGGTTAAGGCACAGCAGCTGCTCCTCCAGAGGCACCTAAGGGGGTCTCACCTTCTGCCTATGGCCAGGCCAGATGTGGATTTCTGAGTCCTGGCCAATGGGACTCCACTTCTCAATTCTTGTGAACTTTGAGTCAAAGGCTCTAATCCCAACAAATTCAAACCATCCCCAGCCCAGCCCTGCAAGGTCAAGTGTTAATGGTAGAGAACCTTAAGATGGGTTGTAGGTCACTGTGGGAGGACGTTAGGAGTGGGGGGAGCAGTTGATGAATGTCCCAGCATAGAGGTGAAGGCCATGCATGTGACACACACATGTGCTATTTGGTTTTAGCATTCGTAACTGTAGGAATCCCCAGTACCATCAGAATCTCGGCAATGCCAGTGTCACAACATTTGGTGACCGCTCTGAACCAATGGGGGCTCACTCCATTGGGCCCTCAGCACAGAAGACTCTAGCTTGTTGCCACTGGCTCCCATTAGCTGGCTTTCTTTGAGTAATTGGGTGTGTTCAAGGCAAAGTAAACATTTTTTAGGTCAATTAGGGCATAAATCAAGGCAGATGGGCCTGATCCCAGCATCCTCTTGGAGTGAGGTGATTCTTTGGTTAGCTAAGACTAGTTGCTTTTGCATCCAAACAGATTTAGATCTTGCCCAGTACCACACTGGAGTTCAGGAAACCACCCACCCTTACCCAGCCAGTCTTGCCTATCACGTTTAGTCTGTTCTTTATTGCATGATCCCTCGAGGGAACGTAAAGCTGCAAGTTCTTTATGATAAATAGTGGCTTGCTAAATTATTGCTTACAAAGGGCTTGCTCGTCTTTCAGTCTCCCCAACTCTGGCCATCAAAGACTCAGTACCGGGAACAAGCCTCTATATATCAGACTTACTGGCTTTCAGAAGACAGCTTGGAGAAGACCAAACCACATCCAGATGAAGTTCTCTGACCCGGAGAAAGCAGGCAGCTCTTAGTGCTTACTCGGAGCCTGGCTTAAGTCCCCCGGACTGAAGCTTGGAGCCAAGGCCCTGTGGAGCCTGAAATGTGTTTATTAGACCCACCAGGAAGCTTAGACAGGTTCTGGAACCAGACCCATAGCTGGACAGTTTCCCTCATCTTCCGGCTTCTGCACGGGATTTGACCCTCATTCTGCTCCCACCCAACATTCAGATCTTTGGAGACCACAGTTCTTGGTCTTTCTTCAGTGTCTGCCTGTTTGGTAAGACCTGAACTGGTCACCTTAGGAGCAATGTAAACAGCATAGAATTGGCCAGTAGTCCATTTGAAGACAAGGATGTATTAGCGGGCCCCTCCTTTGATTGATTTTTTCATCCCTGCAATCCATTTTCCTACAGCTGTGGGCAGCCGGGCTTTCCAACTGGTCAGTCCATATCAGAATTACTGAGGCCCAAGTGGGCCAAACGGTGTCTGGCTTGGTCTTGTTTTCTGGGGTTTTCTGGGAAGTCAGGAAGGCTGTGAGTGCTGTTAATTCCTGCTTACTCTCCTTGTGGGTCTGTGGGTCAGCTTCTGAGACAATGTCCAGCTCCATTCCTTCCCCTTGGACTGGCCCAGCACCTTTGTCCTCCTTGAGGCCACACCAGGCAGCCTCATGACAGCCATGTTTTTTCAGGGCTGGCTGTGGGGGATTGGGGGGGGGGGGGCAGAGGAACTCCTTCATAAATGTAATGATGGTTAATTTTCACTGTTTCATCCTTTACAAAGAACTGAACTTTCCCACATCTACAGTTCCAGGGTCCTGTTACTACTATTAGACGTTACTACCTATTTTGTACTTGGGAGCAGGGACATGCACACCTCATAGAATGAGCAGGTGCCCCCGATGTTTCTGTGGCTCTGAGAAGAGAGCGCTGCCACTCCTGCAGTTCTTCCCACCTGTCCACAGCAGCCACCATTGTGGGGGCTTTGCATCTTCTATAAGCCCATTTCCCCCATCCATGCTTTCTGACACCAGGGAAATGAAATGAAGGATTCTCTTTGGGCTTCTTTCTTTTTGCCTCCCGTATGTAAGTGTTGATTTGAGATAGGTTCATCATGGTGTCTCAAATGGGCACTGACTCCAGCTTCCCCTAGGTATCATCCTGAAGCCCTCAGCCTCACAGAAGTAGATTCCAGTGTGGGAAGAGACAAAGGAGGAAATGGGACTTTCACATCTGCGCTTCTGCCCTAGCTCCCCCGCAAAGAGGAACCCTGGAAGGCTGTTCTGAGAGTCCTCCTCACATGAGTCCCCATGGCAGTGGTTTTGGATGCAGGCTTCTGGGTCCAAGGAGTTGTAGCTGCGGGACACAGCCCCGCAGGCATTGTGTATGTCCCAGGCATTGTTCTCAGCTAGCCCCTGTGTAGTGTCTCCCTCATTTGGCATGATGGGTGGCCCCTGACTGCCAGGCTGCTGCGTTTGTGCAAAGTGTGTGGAGCCGGCGTTGGCCTTGTTTTGGGCCGGGGGTGGCTTAAAGGGGAGTTGCTTCACCCCTGTTTTGTGAGAAGACAGCATGAGACAGCCAGACAGCAAGCTCAGACCTCCAGCACAGTTGGCGGGCTGGGGATGCAGACATCAGGCTTCTCACACAGGGAACTATTGAGGATTTCTGGAAGAGTTGGCATATCCAAAGCAAGCAGAAGTGACTTCTCATACATTCTGTCTCCTTGCTTCCTTATGCTGGCTCCTATCGAGGAATGCTGCTGGCATCAGCTTAGCTTTTGTGTTGGCTAGCTCAGACCCTACAGGAGGTTCCAGCAGCTTCTGGAAGGTCCTTCCCTGGCCTTGACCTCTCAGCCTTTCCAGGACCAAAAGGCCAGCCACATGCCTCTTAAAAGAGATTTGGGGTATGAGTTTGAGGGTCTCCTGCCTCTGAATCTTGTCTGGCCAGGTACTTTTCTTCTCTGGGTCACCAAAGGGGCTGTGACTAACTCACGCTCCATTTGTGCAGTGAATACATGCTGATCGACTTTTGTGCACAGCATCGTGGGGGTTGTATGTCTGAGCTGTGAGCAGAACAGCCAGACAGACACATTAGATCATTTCCAGCTGGTAGAGGCCCAAGGGAGACTGGGCACTGGGGTGGAAAGGAGCAGCTTCTGCTTGCTGGTTGGTGGGGCAGTGAGTGAGCTCGGTTCCACCCTTGGAGGAGGCTGGGAAAGACCTTGGCAAGGCCACACTGAGTGGACCTGTAGGAAGCACATCCCAGATCTTATCTTGGAGGTATCACACACGGAAGGAACGTTGGGGCAGGAATAGTGTTGGCATGTTCAAAAAACGGGAGGGAGACAGCAAAGCTGCAGCACGACAGCAAGGAGAGGGGGTTCAGGGTGGACGGGGCAGGGGTACCCAAAGACCTCAGCTCCTGGTCTGGACACACTTCTGCGGAGCGTCCCCTGGCGCACTCATCAAATTCTAAAGGAGACTGATTCCTGAGAGGTTTGGGGTGGTATTGGCATAGTTAATTAAGAAAGTTACATGTTATTAAGAGCCCCAAAATACACAAAGCAAAAACAGAACTGAAGGGAGAATAGACTGTTCAGTGACGGTCTTGGCGAGCCCAGCACCCCACTCCAGTCATTACCAGAGCATTGGGAAGGAAGATGGAGAACAGAGAGGGCCTGGATAGTGCTCTAAACCCCGCTGGCCTAGCAGCACTGAGCTACAGAGTGCCCAGGACCTCCTCCAGGGCAGACAGACTGTGCGCTAGGCCACAAAACAAATTTTGATAAATTTAAAATGACTGAAATCATGCAGGGTCTTTTCCAACCTTAGTGGAATGAAATTAGAAATCTATACATTTCTGGAAATCCACACACGTGGAGGTGAGCCCAGCTAGCCAGTGGGGCAAAGGAAAGCTGGGTGCGGAGGCCTCTTAGGATGGGGACGGTGGAGGAATACCCGTTTCAGCAGCTGAGGAAACAGGAAGATGGGGTCTGACAAACTTTTGGGGCCATTGACAGGGCAGGGGGTGCCACTGTTCTATGTATAACACAGGGACACCTGCCTTAGGGCGTCTCTGAGGCCCACAGAGCGCCTGTGATTTGTGTCCCTTCACTGGACAAATGCCAGCTGAGCTCCCACTGTGTGCTGAGGGCCATTGCCCTCCTGGGACTTGAGGTAGTGAGGACCCTGACACAGATCACACAATCAGTGAGAGGTACAGAGGAGTGCAGGGGGCAGTGAGGCCACAGGACCAGGGCAGGGGCGCAGGGGTTCTCATGTGAGAAGCCAGGGAAGAGCGAGCAGAGTGAAAAGTCAGCTGATGAGTGTCTGCAAGACCATTTCCAGATCCCAGAAGTTGCTCTCAAAGCGGCAGGTCCCCCAGGATCCAAGAGGCTGCCACATGTGGAGTTGGTACAGCTGGGATGTTTATTGAATGACAGGAGAGAAACCAAGAGCCATGGAATCAGAGCTCGGAGTGGGCCCTGCCACTGTGAAGGAATAGGAAGGAGGTACCTGATATTTGCACCTTAGTGATGTTACCCAAGGAAGGGGATAGTCCCAGAGAAAATGCCTGCTGTGCCAGTGTCATGGCTCTGTGTCATCAGATGCCCCTGCAGACCTGGACCCAGTAAGAGGAAAGCCCTGCCAGAGTATGTGTCTCAGCAACCCCCCAACACTTAGTCCTGGGCTGGGGAACCGCTTAACGCATCCAGGTCCACCACTGTGCCTTCCACATCTGGCTGCCCTAGGACATGACTCCACATCCCGACTCTTGTCATGCCCTTCCCAGAGGCATAACATCCAGCAGAAGCAAGCTTGCTGAGAGCGCCCCGGGTGTCAGCCATGGCCAGGTGTCCGGTCACAAGGACTGCTGCCTCCCTGCTTATCCCACTGATGCCTTCCGTCTCCCTGCGGGGGGGGGGGGATGTTGGCACCCCCATTTCCCAAGCGAGGAGACAGAAGCCTAAGCGAGTGAAATGATTTGCCCAAGATGTGCCTTCAGGAGGTGTCAGAACTGGGAGAGAGGAAGCTCCGTAGGCCTTCCAGAGGAGTTGAGCACCTTCACACTCTGCCCTCTTGGTCTGGCCACTGGGTTGTGCCCATTGGAATCCCCCCTTGACTCCTCCATTTCATTTGGGGCCCAGTGGTATGTTCACAGCTGCCCCAAGGACTGTTGAACCCCTGTTGTGTTATGAGGGGTTTGTTTCCAAGCACTTTGATGGATGGCCTCCTTGGATCACCTGGTGCAGACATGAGGACAGCAGTCCTCGCCCTTTCACAGAGGCTTGCAGTGAGCGCTTAGACACGAGCAAGCAGCCCAGGCTTGCATTTCTGACCCAAACCCAAGTTGTCGGTCCACACAGGAGAGAGTCCAGGTTGGGATCCTTTTCTCTCCCAGTCTCTTAGGATGAGGTCGGCAAACTCCAGGCCTCTGTCTGCAAGCTAAGATAGTGGAGTATGCATATGGCCCAAGAAGCTGAAGGTCCCTCTGTGGCCCGTTATGGAGAAAGTGCTGCCCGGGGCTCACAGCTCATTATCTGTTATTTAGGGCAGTTGCTGTGGTTCCACTCCACCCTGCAGCTAGCAGAGCACTTTCCCAGGCATGCCTCATCTAATTCCTAACAGCTCCTCAATGCAGGTGGTCCTCATTTGGCTAAACTTGGACTTTAGGGACTTTTCTGAAAATAAGAAAATTGGCTCCTCCGCTTGCTCTCACAAGAGTGCCCCGGGAGGAGTGATGTTCATCCCTGGACGTGTGCTTCTGGCTGCTTAGTTCTGAAGAGTTGTAGGTCTGTGAGGGATTGGATATTATCTGGGGATGGGAGCGGGGCTCGTTTTAAGGCTTCTTTTTTTTTTTTTAATTTTTTTTTTTTTAATTTTTATTTATTTATGATAGGCACACAGTGAGAGAGAGAGAGGCAGAGACACAGGCAGAGGGAGAAGCAGGCTCCATGCACCGGGAGCCCGACGTGGGATTCGATCCCGGGTCTCCAGGATCGCGCCCTGGGCCAAAGGCAGGCGCTAAACCGCTGCGCCACCCAGGGATCCCTCGTTTTAAGGCTTCTTGATGGCTAGTTGTTCACATTCTAAAACTAAAAGTTGTGGAAATTCTTCAGCCACCTTCTGTCTTCGCTTGTGCTTTTCAGTAGGTTGTGTTGTCTGCTGAGTTATGTTTGATGATTGTGTTCTGAACCTTTGCAGCAGACTTAGGTCCAAGGCATTGAAATTCTCTGTTGCTCTGGAAATCCTGGTCCACCTTGAAACAGGGTTCCGTGCCATGGAACATGCCGGGGCAAGGAACAGAAATTGCTACGATCCGCTGTTAGGCAACCATTTTAAGCAGCCCTGCTGCCCTCCAACATGGAGCAGGTTGCTTGCCAGCTCTTGGCAGAATGAATTTCAGCCAGATAACATTTTATGGTGCTTGAGTTGGGGGGTAGCACGCCGTTAGCTGTGACTGGTGGAGAGACAGAGAAACCGATATTTGTGGTAAATGCATTCTCAGCCCTTAGGAGGACTCCTCAGCCTGTGGCCTCATAAGGCAGGCTCAGAAGGTTCCTGGGGGATTTTTGAGCATTAGGTTAAAAGTCTGTCCACAACTTGGGTGCCTGAGCTCAGGGAGTTGGCCCTCAGCGTGGCGTATCAGGATCCCTTCATGACGGAGCTCAAGCTGCTGGGTGCTGGGCAGCCTGGCCCTTGCTTACCGCCCTGCCATGTGCTTTCATTTCAGAGGCCAACTGGAGGCTCCAGCCCTGAAGGCGGAGAAGGTGAGGAAGTCTCTAAAACGTTTCGTCTTCCTTGGTAGTAAAAGTAGAAGCAGCCTGATTCTCTCCTCCTCCTCCTCATTTTCTGTAGATTCCGACCGAGAAGATGGAAATTACTGCCCTCCTGTCAAGCGAGAAAGAACATCCTCTTTAACCCAGTTCCCACCTTCACAGTCAGGTAACCGTTGCACACCGTTGCCGGTCAGTGAGAGCATCTGTGCTGATGAGCCCGCCTTCCCCTTGGTGTCTGTCTCCTGTCCACACCCAGTTAGCACCCACCTGAGACACCGTCTCTGTCAGGAGTAAAACTGGAGATGCTCCCTTCTGGAACCAGTGACACTTAACAGAGGGTCGCCACCTAGTGGACTCAAAGATGATGCACCAAGAAATGGTCCCCCTGAAATAGAGGACTGTCGGTCCTGTTGGGGGCTCTGGCCATTAATTACATGTCCTCCTCCCAGATTTGCGGCTGTGTCTCTAGCCTGAGGGTGTAGAAGTGGGAATTACAGTGTCCTCCTGACCCTTCAGCCATGTGCCAAGAGCTTGGCAGTCTGGTTGAGAAGCACAGACACACATAACAAACCAAGTGGCCCCGGAACATACTTTGGTGATGGAATGCCGTGAGCTCCCAGAGGAGGCCTTGGTGGAACATTGAAGGGTGGGCCAGGCTGGGACCCTGTACAGAAGGCTGGGCCCAAGGGTGTGGAGCTCTAGGTGGGGACTGGCAGACCAACCTGGGGACTTGTTACAAAGGCTGATGCAGCAAAAATGCAGTTTCCCAGGGTCAAGAGAGATACTGGGGCTATTTGGTGGGAGGTTCTGTGAGCCTGGGGACAGCTCTGCAGATCGACTTGTGTGCTCCTTCTCGTCCCCATCTTGACTTACCCCCGCCCCCCAGCATCGTCCATCTTCTCAGTCTTGGCTCTCTAGTGCAGACTTAGAGATGCACCTATATTCAGAGACGATCTCTAGTTCCTTATTGGTGGGTTCATGTAAAGCATTTTATACCTGCAAACCTTAAGGATAGCACTTTACGGGGAAAAGACACCCGGGAAGGTTGTTTTCTGCTTATAAAAGTAATGCAAATGTGATGGGAGGGCACGAGGTAGAAAGTTAGTGTCCTTTCTAGATCCTCCCTGCAACACACTGGATTTCACTCCTGTTTCCCTTAACACTCACTGTGGACGTTGCCACATCCTTGCTCATGACTGCTCGAGGCCCCCCTGAAGGGATGTCCTTCGCCAAGCAGGCCTTGAGGAACCATCTGGATAGTTAGCAGTTAGACTTCAGGAGATCTCCTCTCACTTGTTGCATGGACATTCACAAGGGAGCTTCTGCTTCCTGTGATGGATTGTATTCCTTCCCACTCACTGTGTACTGTGGAGCCACAGTCTGTGGCAGGAGGTGCAACAGAGAACAGGAGAGGAGATTTCTGTTGTGGCCTAGGGGGCCAAGGAAAAGCCAGGGGCTTGAGGATAAGACAGGCGACCACAGCATCTAAAGGCCTGGTTCATAATGCTGAGCCTCCTACAGTGGGGCTTGGAGATGGAGCCTTCAGGTGGGAGAGGTGCTCCAGTACATGTGTGCCCCGCCTACTCACGCTGTTTTTCCTCTTGTTCCCTTCCCTGCCCGCACCTCCCTGTCGACAGTATCAAAAAACAATGTTTTTATGCCATCAACCTTCTGCGAGCCATCTGCAGGCAATTCTGACTCAGAACCAGGTGAGCCCTTGTGTCCCTCTGCCTTTTACTGCCAGTCACTGGGGGTTTTCCTGGGATGAAAAGCAGTTGCTATTGTAAAATAAGATCTTGAACAGGAATGGGCAATTTGAAAACCGGATTCTTTTTCAGTTCCTAAATGTTTTCCCAAATCTACAGCTCATAGATTTGGAATCCAGTGTGAGGCAGGCTTCATAAGCCCTTAATTTATTGTTTCTGCAAGAAGGGCCTGGTCACAAGTCTTTAAGGTGTTGGTTTTGTTTTGTTTTCCCCAAAAACAAAAAGCAGTTATAAAGAGGTATATTACTCGTTTTTCAAAATTGTACACAAGCAATATGTTCATATCATTTTTTTAAAAAGGCAAATGGGAAATACATAGAGTAAAAGAATCCACTTCCCCCTCTCCCATCCAGAGGTAACTGCTATGAGGTTGATGGAATTTCCCAGACCCCATTTCTGTGCATTAGACTCTCACATTAATCAATGTTACTTAGACCTGTTCAGATAAATATGTAAGCATATTTAATCACAGCTTTGAACCTTGAAGGAAAGTAGCTCCCACCCCTCTGAAGACTATGGAGCCTTCCTTTTTTGGTCTTTCACTAGAGATCCAACTCCAAGATTTCCTGAAAGTTTCTCCCACGTGGCTGAAATTCCTCATAAAAGATTTAATGAGCAAGTTCAACTACCCGAATTCTGTAACCCAACCTGCCTTATATAAATTAATTGCCTACTTCAAAAGCATTGCAAGATAAGTCATACTCTGGCAAGAGGGCGATGTTTTTATAACTTAGGGGGTTGATTCAATAGCACCATTTCAAACAATAGAATTCATTTTGACTCTGAAAGCAAGCTGTTTTGAGCTGACCCCTTCACCAGGTTCTGAGGAGGAGTTTGGTTTGGAAGCAGCCTTGGGAACCCCCAGAGTGCTCGGAGTGCTCCCTTAGCAAGTAGCATTGTGAAAGGTAGAGCCCTGTTAGCCCAGGGAACCAGTCAGCTTCCTATGTCTAGATCACCTCAGGCTGTCAATTTCCATTACAGATCTCACCATCACCTCTAAGATGTGTGAGTGACGGCTCCCCTCTATCTCCCCACAGAACCTTTGTTCTGCAGCATTGAGAACAGGGGTGCCCTGAGGAAAGGGGGTTCCCAGGCCAGGCTGAGGGATACAGATGCAGCCTCACTTACTGGTCCCTGAGTCAGAGTGGAGTCTATCCTCTTCTGTCCTTGCCTGCCTTTCTTTTATTTTTTAGCTTTAATTTGGCAGGGGGCTCCCCCGGTTAATTTATGGAAGAATTTTATAAAGCACTTCCATATCCCTTTGCCCATTCAATTTTCCCCAGTCGTCCCAGTGATGTCCTTCATAGCTGAGGGATCAGATCCCCGACCATATACCACATATCTCTCTATCTGTAATACTTCTTCATTCTTTCCTTGACATTTATGGCTTTGAAGATTACAGGCCAGTTATTTTGGAGAAGTTTTTCTGTCTGTGTTTATCCAATGATTCCTGGTAGTTCCACCCAGGTAGTGCCCTTGGGGCTAGAATACCACAGAAGCGAAGCTGTGTTCTTCACACGACACACTGTCCCAGGTGGCACATGGTGCTTACCTGTCCTGGTACCCGTGGGGCTGATTTGCCCACTAGGTTAGTGTGGGCTGTGTCAGTTTGTCCACTTTGAGATCATCCCCTTTTTTCTGAGGAGATACTCTGAGACACTACAAAAGCCCTCTCCTGTCACTGTTGCCCTCCAGTGTCCACCTCCACTGATGTTCTCTTGCTTGGATTAGTCATCACTGACGATTGATCGCCCAGATGGATCGCCCAAGTGGAGGGTTTTCTGCGTTCATCGTTAATAGTATGCTTCATCGGTGTTCTGTAAGGGAGCTTTCCTTTCTCCCCACTTAGTCCTTTGTTACATTGTACAGCAAGATGGATGCGTGGATTCCTGTTGTAGTCAACAGGATACATTCTGTCATTATTAGTATAGGATTTCTTTATTAGTACAGAATTTCTTTTAATCGTCCCAGATTTGGCTGGCAGGAGTCCCATCAAGCAGGTTCCTGCATCTTTTTGCTATGACTCATTATTCTTTTAAGCACTTTGTTTTGTCCTAACAAGAGGCTCCAGGCTAATCATCGTCTCTCACAAGGGTCCTTAGTGGAGACCAGTCTCTAGAAACAAGATCTGTGTGCTCAGCAGGCTCACCGCCATTGGACTATCCCTGCACTTGGGCCCCCTCGATGCCCAGAAATGGGGACACACACACTCAAACCCATGTGCATACACATGTGTACACATACTTCTTTGTCCATATCTATCTGCATGTGCAGGTGACCCTGGGTTCACACGTATACTTCATATCCAGCACCAACCGGGTTCATCTGAGCCTCCCTGCTTCATATTTCTACCTTTCTTTTTGACAGAAACCTGGCTCTCTTTGTCCACGGTGCATGTCCCCAGCACAACCTTTGCCCCTGCCCAGCCCCTGCCAAGCTGTCTCCTCTTAGAGTCTTTTCGTCTTCCGGCATACACCAAGTTGAAGTTGAGCATTGCTTCCCGCAGAGGAAGGGCAAGGCAGAAAGTACCATCAAAGGAGCCTGCTTCCTCTAGACAGGATTAGAGGAGAGAGAGATTTGCTTCAGAGGGAGCAATTTCTTAACCTCAGTGAGCTCACAACAGGGCACACATATGCCCTCAAGAAGACACTGGTATAGTCACTCATGCACCCCGGTGATCCTGTCATGTGTGCTAGGGCTCTGGCCTTCAGCAACACCCTTTTATTGTACGCTGACCATGTTGCAGGAAAAGTGAGTTTTTTGAGGCCATGAAAAGAGCATGTCTATTTTGGTGAAGATGGGGCCTGCGGGCAGGCCTTGGCTTGGCTGTCCTGTGAGCACACTTCCCTGCTGCCTTGGCTCCTTCGTCCCTAGTTGCCGTGACAGATGTGGCATGCCCTATCTGTCTTGTCTGTCATCCATTCACTGCAGCATTCAGTGTGACTTCTTGTGCATCTGTGGGGTGGACCAGGTGCCAGGTCCAATTCCAGCAGATGCTCAGTGACCGTGATTGTCCAGGCCTCCGCCCCCACTGGTCAGCCGAAGCTGGCTACAAGGGTCAAGCACTGCTGCTAGCATTGCTCTGCACAGGGCAGAGAGGTGGAAAGTGATCAGTAGCCACAATGTAAGCATTATAAAGCCAGCTGTAAAGCTTTTTAAAAATTAGTTCAATTGTGAGTTTCATCTCAATTTTTTTTTAATGTTTGTAAATTGCCAGTCATCTTCTGAATAGTCCTGAGCTTTGGAAATGTGATTCAGTATTTCTCTCCTAAAGAGGAACATCTGGCAGCATGTCTTCCCCTGCATCTGTGGTGTCTGATTCTCCTGAGTGTGGTTTTTATGACCTCTCTCTTATGGGAGAGACCCCAGCTCACTAACACAGGCTCTTGGGAGCCTAGTGGACTCAGTTCCTTCATACTAACTAGCAGCGAAAGTTTTTGTAATCCCATTTTTGCCCAAGGAGAGCAGTTTGGCTCACCAGCATGCAGACAACAGGAAGAAGGCTTTCCTGCTTTGTTGAGAATTCTGCATTGACTTTGTTTTATGCCTCAGAGTTTGGCCTGAAGGCATTTGTGTTGTTGCAGTGTACCATTGGTTGGTTTTTAGGTATCCACAGAATTGTGCAGCCATCACCATAATTAATTTTAGATCATTCCATCACCCCAAAGAGAAGCCCCGTCCCCATGAGCAGTCACCTTCCACCCCCTCCCCAGACCCTGGCAACCAAGAATCTACTTTCTGTCTCCATGGATTCACCTGTTGTGTATGTTTCATATAAATAGAATCCCATATTATGTGATTTTCTAAGATCTCTTCCCATTTGTTTGTTTTTCCTCCAACGATGTTTTGTAGTTTTTGTCTCTTAAATTTATTCCCAAGTTTTATTCTCTTTGGTGCTATTATAAATGGAACTGTTTCCTTCATTTTTGGATTATTCATTGCTAGCGTATAGATACACACAATTGATTTTTGTGTATTGATCTTGTTCCCTGCACCCTGACAAAGGTTTTTTCAAATGAGTTGGACCTTCGCACAAAAGCGAGGTTGCCTCTGGTGGCCCAGAATGCTGCGGTCCTTGTGCTGCCCCAGGAACAGACCTGACATGTTGGAATCACAGGGCTTATTATGCTGATCCTTCCTGTCAAGGCAGATTAGACAGTCCCCACTCCCCACCCCTTATGAGATAGACCAAGTCACCAGCACACACAGATGAAGGGATTTGTGTGGACCAGTGGCCCAGCAAAAAGCAGGTTTTGACCCATCACCCTGCTTCCTTCCCCTTCCTTGTCCTGGGCCTTCCAGTGCTCTCGGGAAGGAATGAAGTGAATCTCTCCAGGCACATCTGGAAAGAGAGCAAGCCTGCTGCTGTCTGCCACCTTTGATCTTTCACCACAGAAAACGTGTCTCATTTCCCAGACATCTGCTTGTAGTACAGAGAGGCTTCTCCTAACTACAGATACATCCTCTGACAAGACAAGTCCTCTAAGAAAGGGAGACGGGTCCTGGAGACCTTTATTAGGTGGCTCTCTGACATTCTCCAGGGCCTTTGAGGCCATCACAGCTCTTGGCAAGTTACTGGGTGAGGTAGCCTAGGGATGGACCAGCTTTACACTCACTGTCACTTTTGTCTCACACCTTCGACACCACCTGGTCTTTAATTGTCAGCACCTGGCCTGAAGCCAGCACTTCCCACAACCCCCTGCTTCTTCCTCGTCCAAGCTGCCTTATGACCTTGGTGGTTGAACCAGGCTTCTGCATTTGTGTTTTAACTTGGAAACATGTCCCTGGTTCTCCAGGCTTGTGGCCACTGAGGTCCAGACCACAGTCTTCCCCTTCCCTTGACCCTCTCAGCTTTGCTGTTGGCCCCATCTCTACACCCCCTAGGCAGGCCTGCTTTTTATCTTTTGTCTTCTGCTTGTAGAGGAAAAGAGCAGTGGATTCCGGTTGAAGCCACCAACATTGATCCACGGCCAGGCTCCTAGTGCAGGTAGGTGCCCACCTATAAGAAGGAAAGTGGAAGGGCTTTCTCACACCCTTCCTCTCTGTGTAGCATCTGTTTGCACAGCTGCCTAAGGCAACCCAGCCTGCATGCTCCAGGCTCAGCCTGCTGTCTAGGTCATTGCAGTTACCTGGCATATGAGCACTAAAAAGTCACTTTAAGGAGCCCATCAGACCAAGAAGATTGTCCTACCTGTAAGCTCTCCACCACCCTGAGGGGGGTGGGGATGGTGAGGGAGCAGACTCGGCTCAGTGTGGGGCTCTATGCCCAGCACAGGCTCAGTTGATCCAGCCTGTGTCTCCAGAGTATCCCAGCCCCAGGAAGCCACAGAGTAAGCCTGATTAGCAGAGTGGCCACGATCCAGTGGCATGCCGCTGGGGAGCAGAGCCTGGCAGTGGTGCAGAGTTGGAAGCATTCTCTCATGCTTCTTGCCCAATTTGTGTTTGGCAGACAGATTTTCTCAGCATGGCACTTTGAAAAGCAGGTGCAAAGGGTATTTTTATTTGAGCCCGAGCAGAGTCTTAAACTCTGGGGGGCTGCCTATGGCTCTCCCTTCACCATCTGTGCTTGATCCTTGAGCCCAGCACTTGAGGATAGCTGTCCCTTGGTTCCCCCCCCCCCATGGCATTACTGTACTCACTCAATTTCTGTAAAGCCCCTGAGAGCCAGTACAGGGCTGTGTGTTTCTACCCATGAGGTCTGAAGGCCCAGGCAAGCAGATCTCTCTTCTCAGGTCTGCCAAGCCAGAAGCCCAAGGAACAACAGCGGAGTGTGCTTCGCCCGGCGGTGTTACAAGCCCCACAGCCAAAGGCACTCTCACAGACCGGTAAGAATCTGCCCTGGCATCCAGGCTTACTCAGCAGGGTGTAGAGTGATCCTGAAGTTGGCCTGGGACAGCTGTTTCTCGACACAGGTGACTTTGGCCCTATCTGCTGAATGCACTCAGAAATAGCTGTGGGAACAATCCTGTAAATTCGTGGTGAGGGACGCCTGCGTGGCTCAGCGGTTAATCGTCTGCCTTTGGCTCAGAGCGTGATCCTGGTCCTGGGATCAAGTCCCACATCAGGCTCCCTGCAAGGAGCCTGCTCGTCCCTCTACCTGTGTCTCTGCCCCTCTCTCTGTATCTCTCTATGAATAAATAAATAAAATCTTTTTTTTTTTTAAAGTAAAATAAAAAAATAAATAAATCCCTGGTGAGCCCAGGGAAGACGGTATGGTCCCACCGTCTCCCTGTGGCACCAGGCCAAGGTGACCACTAGGTAAGACCTGCTTTCTGCGCACACTGGCTTCACAAAAGCTGACTCCTCTCAAGTGTCTCCTGTTCAGCCCAGCATATTTGCAGGCAAAACTTGGCCCTGTGTGTCTGAGAGATTTGAAGGGTCATTTTGGTTATGTGCACAAATTCATCTGATTTTCCACCATAAGACCTAAATCTTAAGCCATATTTCCATGATCTCCACACAGGTCATGGTGTTCAGTTGACCTTTTAGTTTCTTAATGAGCTTTTCTTGTCTTTCTCTTGGCCTCTCCCTGTAATTCAAAAATTCATCAGAAGCAATCCAACATCCCACATGGGGGAAATAAATAGTTAATATTTCTGAAGAGTTTCAACAGGAAAGCTTTTTATAAGCGAGGCTAACCAATCAGCCAAATTTAAAGCTGCGCACATCATGTGATCTCAGCTATTTATAGGGAAAAGTGTATAGAATAAAGATGTTATGAGTAAAACGTTTTATAAAACTCATAATCGTTCCTTCAATATATATTACTTTTCTCTTTTATCTTCACAGTATCGTTTCTGAGTACACTAAAATTCATACGGTTCTTTGTGGAGTAAGCAATAAGATATTCTCACCTCTGTGAGGTTTTAGTTCTGAGGTTGGGTTTTTCTTTTCTTTCTTTTTTTTTTTTTTTTAATTTTTATTTATTTATGATAGCCACAGAGAGAGAGAGAGAGAGAGAGGCAGAGACACAGGCAGAGGGAGAAGCAGGCTCCATGCCCCGGGAGCCCGACGTGGGACTCGATCCCGGGTCTCCAGGATCGCGCCCTGGGCCAAAGGCAGGCGCCAAACCACTGCGCCACCCAGGGATCCCCCTGAGGTTGGGTTTTTCAATGTAAGAATGTGATTTTCAGTAGGGACACTAGATCCTTTTCTTTAAAGAGGAGAAATTACACTGTTGGTCTAAATGGTGGAAGGGAGCGCTCGAGGTTTCACACACACACACACACACACCCCCATCTTCTTGTCCCTGCAGTCCCAAGCAGCGGCACCAACGGAGTCAGTATCCCAGCAGACTGCACGGGGGCCGTGACAGCAACATCACCTGACAACCCTGCACGGAGAAGTCCCTCTGACGAGGTGCGAGCACTTGAGGTGTGTCTGTGCTGGGCAGGGAGCACCTGAAACTTCTCGGAGCTTTACTGAGTGTGTAGACAAGTTACCTGCTCGGAGCAGTGCCTGGGTGGGCCCGTGTTAAGGCTTTCTGTATTTGCTCAGTGGTGTGCGTGTGCAACTGCAGCTGATGTTTATAGTTGCTAGAATGCCAAGGATGGTCTGTCCGCAGTTCCAGAGTTCTGTCTGGGTTCCAGAGGCCAGACCCAGCACCTCCCCATACAAGTGGCCAGCTGGCCTCTGGGCCTGGCCTCTGGGGGGGCGGGGGTCCCTGGAGCCACAGGAATGGCTTTCATTGCTGAGCTAGTGTGCCCTTTTACATGGAAAGCTGTCTCCCCTCCCTGTTTCCACACCTGAACAACACGGGGGTTCGCATAGGTGGGCCCATTCTAGCTGAAGAAATCAGCTCAGAACATTGATTGATTGATTGATTGATTGATTGATTGATAGGCAGACACAGCAAAGTCTGGGGTTCTGGGTTTCTATAGGCCAAGAGCATGTGCTTTCTAGTGGTATTGCCCGGCAACTGAAAAATGAGGAGCATGTACCAAAGAGCCTGTATTTGCGGGTGGCAGAGGTGAATCTGAAATGCAAGTTGCAGCACCGCACCAAGGCTTCCATTCACAAAGCCAGATTACATGTGTGTGTTTATTTCGACTGGGCTGTTTGGGCAGCTGAGCTGCTGCCTGAGTTCTAGCCCCTCCACCTCCCCCACACCCCCCATAGTTGCTGGAGCCCAAATGGTGAAAGCGATCATCTACAATTCATTTTTAAAACATCCCTGAGCAACCCCCGCTCCTTCAGACCACAATTAGCAGAATTAAAATTAGGAGCCATCTTTGCAACCTGCTGCTGCTTGGAGACTTGGATAGCTAGGGTGGCTAGTGCAGCAGGGCTGTGAGCTGGAGGGAGTCTGGGAAGCTGCCTGGCCCGCCTGCCTCCGGCGTCCCCGGGGAGTCAAGGACAGGCCACACCCGGGAGACAGCAGCCCCCCGGGGACCTGAGCCAGAGGAGACCCCTTGAGCAGACGGAACTGCGAGAGATGGCCCGCCTTGCTTCTTGGGGCTAACCTGTCACTTCTTTTCAGTTGTTGTCTTGTTTTTGTTTCAAACTAGGAGAAAGAGCCCCAGAAAAATGAATCTAGCGATACTTGTGAGGAGGAGAACTGTGAGAAAAGAGAGCAAGTTGCGCAGCAGGCGTTTGTGTTCGGGCAGAACCTGAGGGACCGAGTCAAGGTGTGTGGATCAGAGGCCCGGATGGGTGCTCGCACTCCGGGGTCAGTCTCTTCTGCCTCTTCAGGTTCAACCACAGGACCTCCGCTTCTCCCTTCAGGGGGCGGGAGGTGGAGGTGGCACAGCCGCGGGCTCGTCCCTGACTGCTGGCATGGCCTCCCTGCTGCACTGCTCAGCTCCCGGCGTGCTCCCTGGCAGCCTCCCTTGTTCTCCCAGTCACCGGGGATGGGACGAAACCGAGCGTGCCTCTCCTTGGAAACCAGCATTTTCGTAGCAAAGGGGACAGCACCATCCGATGCTTTCGACGTCACTGGAGAGCTTGTCATTGCCTAACTTGGGAGCTGCTCTGTCTTGGCACAAAGCAACGTTTAGACAGGTTCATTGTCAGCTGTTGGGGGGCTGGGTGTCCTAGGGTACCAGGCAGCATCCCTGGCCCTCCCCCTCCGGGTGCCAGGAGTATGCCCCCACCCCCTGACGTGGCAACCCAAAGTGTCCCCTCATGAGGCTGAGCATTCCCTTTGGGACCAAGTCACCCCTAATTGAGAATCATTACCTTATTTTTTTAAGGTAGGGCAGATAGAAAAATAACTATTCTGTCCCATACTAGGCAATAGCATCTGTCCCTCCTGGCTGCCCCCAAGGCCTATTGGTCTAGTCTGGGGACTTTGAGTCAGGGGTAGAGAGCATCTGGCAGGGGCTCTGGGCTCGGGACCCTGTGTGCTGTCGCTCTGAGAGGCCAGAATTAGGCAACACTACCTTTCCAGCCACCAGGATAGAGTGTCCCTCTGTGCCGTTTCCAGCAGCTCATCTGGCAGGAGTTCCTTTAGAAGCCTGAGAGACAACATGAGTGGCTGTGTCTGGGGACGTTTGTGGTTGTCACGGCTAGGGTGTAGGTACCACTGCGATCCAGTGGGTGGGAGCAGGGGATGCTGCCCAATACCCCACGGTGTCCAGGGCGGCTTCCCCACAGAGAAAGATCCAGCCCCAATGTCAGTGATGTTGAGAAGGAGAAATCCTGAAATAAAGGAATAAAAGTCTCTCCAGCACGTAGAAAACATCAGGTTGTGCCATCTGCCTTCTCCTTTGGTGTTCGCTGTCCAACAGAAACACAAATCCCTAGGGATGAAAAGTAGGCATTGCTGTTGCATGACTTTAGCCAAAGTAATGAGTCCCTTGGAGGCTGCTCGCTCCAGGGAGGAGGAAGCCGGAGAAGGAAGGGCCTTGAGATCCACCTGTGCTGGGGGGCAGGAGCCTGACCTAAACCGCCAGGTCAAGTCTGTTCCTAGAGTCCAGGGGAATGGCTGCCTTGAAATTGGGGCTGAGGCCCTGTCTTACGGAGGCCCAGGGTTCACGTGATCTGTAGTATCACAGTTACATGCCAGCTTCTTAATGGGGGTGATCTCTTGGCACCCTGAGCCCCTGCTTTCTCACTCAGTAGGTCGAGGTTGATAATACCTCTCAGGGTTCCTGGGAGTATCACATTCGATGATAGATTCAACAGAGCTGGCACAGCAGTTAGCAAGCATAAAAAAAAAAGCCCTCAAGAAATGATGTTTTTATTATATTTATAATAAACCCCTTAAAATGCCAGATTTGGAAGCATTCTGTGACCTCTCATTACAAGCATTCGTGAAAAGGGGAACAAGATGTCAGTTGAGGGATTTCTTTTTTTAAAGAAAGTAGAAAAAGTTCCCTGATGCCTTACAAACTCTTTTTCTATCTTAACCATTAAAAGCAGAAATGGCAAAGTTGATTACAGCGCATGCTCCCCCCCCCGTGTACACGCGTGCACATACACACACACACACACACACACACACACACACGAGCTGTGCCATACGCCCTGGGGTATGCAGACAGGCTGAGCTGTAGAGGTCCCGAACAGGCGTTGTCTGGGCAGTAAGTGTCGCCTCTCTGTTTCCTAGTTAACAAATGAGAACACTGAAGTAGCTGACATGGAGAATGCCGGACACCCCAGTTCAGAAACGCCAACTGCGACCAACTATTTCCTTCAGTATATCAGCTCCAGGTGTGTGTCTTGGGCCGGGTGGCCAGCCTCAGAGTGGCCCAGGTCATCCCCTAGCCTGGGGCCCAGGGTGAGGAGGCAGCACCTGGACCAGGAACCTGGTCCTTCTGGAGGGCAGGATGAAGGTGGGGGTGGGGGAAGCAGATTTCACCAGAATCCTGGATCTCCTCCACCGCCCAATCCCCTGGCTCCCTCCCTTATTCCCATTCTGGGCACAGCTGTGAAGGGGCCAGGATGGTGTGTTTCAACAGACAAGGCAGGACCCAAGTTCTCCTTGGCCCTTGGAGTAACCTCTGTCACCTGGATTTCATGCTCAGAGCAGAACCCAGTGGACCAGTGGCTGTTTGGCTGCCTCCTGTTACCTGCCAGGTTCTGGCCTATGGGGACCCCTTACCCTGGATTTGGGTTCGCTGGTGGTTAACACTGCTGGTGGTGGTGCTCACTAGTGGCCTGGGTGCCCCATGGATATTTCAGAGAAAAAGGAGACAAGCCAGCAGAGTAGATAGAGAACATGGGCATGGACTTCAGAGAGACCTGGCATGAATGGTGGTGACCTCACACTTGGCTTCCTAGACCCTGATTAGCAAAGTGCATTGGATATTGTTTTAAAGACATTTTTTTGTACTGCAGCATTTCCCAGATTGGGATGTGCTTACACCCGTGACATCTTAAACTAGATGAAATGTGATGGTGACAGCAGCTCCGAGGTCACCAAGTGTCCTCTGCCAGCAGCCCAGGGGCAGGAGGTGTCCTTTCCTTTGTGCAGCCCAGGGGGACTAGTGGGTTCCTTCAGGGAAGTAGGTGGCGCCTGGTCTGACCTCTGCGATCAGCCTCTCTGAAGCGGTATCTTCATGCACCCCGAAGGGGACACCTGCCTCAAGGAGGTTGGGGTTGATGAGGTGACTGTCAGGCGTGTCCCATAGTGCCCACATGCAGTGGACCCTTGGAAGTGGGAGCTGAGGGTCTGTGTTCCCTGGTCAGCACAGCCTGGCTCAGAGGCTTGTGAGCACCTAACCCCAGTGTGCTGGCCCATCCCCTGGAGGGGAGGCTAAGGGGCGCCAACACTGTGCTTTCTGCACCAAGGGTTTGGCCCTTAACCCACTCTGGCCGTGCACATGCATGTGCAACACATGCAAGTGGGTACACCTGTCTGCCCCCCTCCATTGGGTGCCCACACCCACAGCATGCCTTCTCTTCAGTTTAGACAACTCGACCAATAGTGCCGACACCGCCAGCAACAAATTCGTGTTTGGCCAGAACATGAGCGAGCGCGTGCTGGTGAGTGGCCCCTGTGGGGACTGTTGGTCCTGGGGCCCCAGGGCGAGGGACATGTGAATATGGCTGCCACCTTGTCTCCTATAAAGTGAAGATGCTTCTGGTTACAAGAGAAAGAAGACCCAACTCAGACTTGGGGCAGGGTCGTTGCATCGGGAAGCTCTCCAGGAGCTGGTGTTCGGGCTTCCTGCCTTTCTTCTCTGCCAGCTAGCTTAGCTTCATCCTGGGATAGGCTTCCCCTTAAGTCTGGGGCCATGCTTCCTCCTGGCTGAGGCCAGCTGCAATGACAGTCATCAGACCAGAGTCCTTAGCCATGTGCTTCTGAGCCACCTCTGAGCCAAGGGAGTTCAGCTTCACACCCCCCACTCCACCCCCATCCCTGACTGTGAGGCTGCAGCATGGAGGGGGCTTTGGGGAAGGGGCCTTGGAGGGGCCCCTGCAGTGTCCCAGGTGTCTGCTGGACACACCATGGCCAGGGCACTTGGGTACCCTTATGCTGTCTCCCCATCCAAGAAAGCCTGGCCAGCCTGGGATGGGGTTCTAAAATTATTTACCTGCTTCCTTAGTTTTGTTCCTTTTCTTTCCTTATCCAATGCATGTGAGGCCACTGTGTCCATTGTGAGTGTGGCTAAGGAGCTGTTTTCTCCCACTTAACATTTCCATCTTTGTGTTACATTAAGGAGCCTCCTGCTGCTTTCCTTAAGCATCAGTACTATTATTTTCCTGTTACAACAAAATGGTCCAAGAGCTGCCTCACACAGAGATAAACAGCTGGTGGCATACACCTCCCTGAGATGTTAGGGGAGTCCCTACTTAGGGACTTGGAGGGCAGTTCGCCTAGAGGGTAGAAGGGTGGATCTGGGAGGGCCGAGCTGCCTGTATCAGAAGGGTACTTTTCTGGTTTTACCACCAAATGATGCTCAGGAACGTTGTGTGGAAACAAGGCCGCAGGCTAGAACCCACCCCCTGGGGAGGGGTTGTCTAGGCTCCTCTGCCCAGTCTGGGTGGGTCCCCAAAGCTGTGAAGAAAAAGCCCTCTGGGAGTCCTTGCTGAGAGCTGCCATCCCAGCAGAGGGGCTTCCTGTTCCACAGCGGCTGGCCCACGAGCAGCCAAGCATGCTCTCCTCCCCATGTGCTTCCATCTCCCTGCAGAGCCCGCCCAAATTAAATGAAGTCAGTTCAGATGCCACCAGGGAAAATGCAGCTGCTGAGTCCGGGTCTGAGTCTTCGTCCCAGGAGGCCACCCCTGAGAAAGGTATGCTGCAGTCCCACTGACTTGTGGGAAGGGTACCAAGCGACAGGGTCATTATCCATCCATACCCCTGCCCGGGAGGGCCCCAGCTCTCTGCAGCATTAGTAGCCACGCATGAACCAGACACTGGGGCATTGTTGAAAAGCCATGGGTGCTGGTTTTCAGCAAGCAGAGAGGGGAAGTGTTCATCCTAAAGGAGCAAGGCCTTGGCGCTTCAGGATGACTCTGGGGATAGGATTATTTTTATTTTTTTATTTTTTTAAATAAATTAATTTTTTATTGGTGTTCAGTTTACCAACATACAGAATAACACCCAGTGCTCATCCTGTCATGGGGTTAGGATTATTGAGGAGGGTGTCCCCCTCTTGCCCTGAGGTTGGAAAGGGGAGTTTCTCTTCAGTGTTCTGTGTGAAGAATCTCACTGTTCCCCTGTCCTCTACTAAATGAATGGCAGTGGGAAATCTGGAGCCATGCTGGCATCTAGCTCCCAGATGGTCTCCCCACAGATCCAGGGCCAGATTGCTGTATTTCTGGGGTCCGCTCCAGGTCCCAGGAGCCGGCACCCTTGAGGCAGAGCCAGCCCTTTTCTGTCTCCTGTGAGGTACACACACACGTACACCCCAACAAATAAATAGTCAATGTCGTTTAGCTAATAACATTTCAGAGTCCCTGGCCGAGTCGGCAGCTGCCTACACCAAGGCAACAGCACGGAAGTGTTTGTTGGAAAAAGTGGAAGTCATCACCGGGGAGGAGGCGGAGAGCAACGTGTTACAGGTGAGACAGGCCTGGAGGGAGGGCATCTTGCCCTTAGGTGGTGGTATGAGAGGCCATCCTCCGTAGCCCCCAGCTTCTCCATGCATCTGAGGGGTGGGACCCCCCTGTCGGCCCCACACAGTGGACCTCCCTGGGCAGTGCCCCACTCCCTGGGACCTCATTGGCGGAGCTTCTGAGAGCATAGTGTGAGCACTAAGGAACTTCTGGTCCTGCTTTGTTTTTGAGCAGAGGGATCTGTTTTGAGGCATTCTCGATAGTTCAGGGCATTACAGAGACTGTCGTAACAAAGACCCAGGATGAATGGCTGTGATTGTTTTGGCACACTCTCACCCCGAGTTGTTTTATTAGGGAACCAGGATCACAGATGCAGCTCAAACTTGTCCCGCCTTTCCTCTGCATCCCGGGGCAACATGAACACTTTCAGGGCACTTCATTCATCTGCTTTTCATGTTGTGCGCATGCGCCTTTAAAATGTACAAGTCAGTGGTTTTTAGCGTATTCACAGATTTATGCAACTGCCACCACTGTCAAAATAGAACAGTTTTGTCCACAAAACAGAAACTTTGCCCATCAGCAGTCACCCCTCATGCCCTCCCCAGCGGCCCCCACGAGCCCCCTTCCCGTCCATGGATGAGCCTGTCCTGGACGTGTCACACACGTGGACTCACACACCGTGTGGCCCTCTGTGTCTGGTTCCCTCCCTGAGTGTCGTGGCCTCAGGGTCCGTCCCCGGGGCAGTGCCAAGTGATGTGTGTAGAGAGACTTTTAGGTTTCCACCTTTTAGCTATTATGAATCTTGGTACGGTGAACATGTGCAGGCTCTTGTATGCAGATACCTGTCATTTCTCTTGAGTAGATCTCTAGGAGCAGAGTGGCCTATTTGGTAACTCCACGTGTAATGTGGGGAGCACATTTCTGTAGCAGCTGTGCAGTGTTTCGTTCCTGCCAGCCATGTGTGAGCTTCTGATTGCTCTACCACCTACACGGTGACTGCTGTTACCTGGTTTTTGATGCCTTCTAGCAAGTGCAGCGCGGTATCTCCTTATGGCTTTTATCTTCATTTCCTTGCTGATTCTTTCTGCCCCCCGACAGTGTAAAATTCATCTTAGCCGGAGAGCAGGACACAAAACTGGCCAAGGGCCAAATGTACCCCCCAAGCCATAGTTGGCTACCCCCCACCTTGTAGTTCACTCAGGGTAGAGGGGGGAGGGTCCCAGGAATTTGTCCACACCAGCATCCACCCAGCCAGGGCCCCAGCTCACCCAGAGGGATGCCTTGTGTTCCAGATCCAGTGTAAGCTGTTTGTCTTTGACAAGGCCTCGCAGTCATGGGTGGAGAGAGGCCGGGGGCTGCTCAGGCTCAACGACATGGCATCGACTGATGACGGGACACTCCAGTCCCGACTAGGTGAGCTGCAGTGTGGTCTCTGTGGAGGGTTCCAGGATGGCACAGAGCTCCCAAGGCCCAGGAAGGCAGGATCCCCACACAGGTCCCCACTTGGAGAGTCCCGGCACCCACAGCTTGCAGGGCCAGGCCCTATCCCAAGGCTTTTGCTGCCAGCTTGTCTGTGACTCTCCTCTTTGTGAGTGTGATGAAAGTAGATGAAACTACTTAGCAACTCCTGAACTTGCTTTCTAATAATGAAAGTGCTGGTGGTTTTATGATGGCAAGGGAAAATAAGAATTCAAACAGTCCCATCCAGCCTGTGATCCCTGTCAAAGACCTTCCTCCAGCCCATCCCAACTGCTCCATGTGCCTCGGAGGTGGGCCCATCAGGCACAGAGGGCTTAGGGAGTGGACACAGGGAGATCTGGTTGGTTGGAGCCCAGGACCCTACCCCATAGCCTCCCAGAGCTGGCCTGAGCTGCTCTGTCTGAGGCCATATAGGGCACCGGGTTGGGGTGGGGAGAAGTGGGCTGGTGGGTAGACAAGGTGTCACCATGTCCCAGGGTCAGGGCACATCCAAGGAGGATAGGTTCTGATAAAACAGGAAGGCTGATGGTGGCCTCAGGCCTGCTACGGGTAGATGTGATGTACACTTCTAGAAAAGGAAGAAAGGTCTGTACCCTCTTTGTCTCCACTGTATGTTGCTCTCGATCTGTCTTTGTCTCCTTCCTGGTGGAAGCTCTAAGCAGCCATTGGCCTCAACCTTTTTCCTAAGAAAACTGCAGAATAGGGCTGGGGCTTGGCCAGTGAGTGGGGCCCGTCACAGGGCATCAGCTTCTTTGCAGTGTGTCACATAAAGAATGTGCATGTGTGCAGCTCCCAAATGTCCCTCTCTGGCCCTGCCTCCCACCTAATCATCCCCCAAGGGAGCTGCCCTCATTGCACTGCTGGGTGGACCAGCAGAACCCTCCCTGTGATGGGTGTGTGGGGGGGGGCAGGGGGAGCTGGCTGTTACAGTGCTGGCCTCCAGTGTGTGGGGGGCCGTGCTCAGCAGACTGGTGGGCAGCTCCTGCAGACCTTGAGAGAATTGTGGGATTTTACCCTGGGGTGTTTTCATTCTGGAATGTGTCTGTTCTCATAGCTGGCTGTTGGGTGGGTGTCACGGGCCAGGGCTGAGTGGCCTTATTGGTTGCAGTGATGCGGACCCAGGGCAGCTTGCGACTGATCCTCAACACCAAGCTCTGGGCACAGATGCAGATCGACAAGGCCAGTGAGAAGAGCATACGCATCACAGCCATGGACACTGAGGACCAGGGCGTGAAGGTTTTCTTGATCTCAGTGAGTAGCCCTGGGGATGGGACAGGCTACTACCAAGGAGATGCCCAAACAGACCCCTGGACAAGGGCGGTGCCCTCCTGAGCTCCCACAGAAGGCAGGTTCCTGGGTATTCCAGTTGGGCCACACGGAGCTACACGAATTACTGGCCCCCTAAGAGGGTGCTCTGTGGTACAGCAGTCAGCGCTCTACACTGAGGGTATGGGTCGGGGAGCGAACAGGGAGGCCTCTAGGCCAGCCAGTTTCCAAAAGAAGCAAGTCAGAACAGATCGGTGGAGGGGAGACAGGAGTGGCCCTGCATCACTGCTGTCATCCCAGCTGAGCCCCGGGAAGGACGGGCCCTGGGGCATCAGAAGCTTCCGTCTGCTGTCCCTGAGTTTTCTGAGGAGAGAGGGATAGGCTCCTCCCCAGACACACCCTAGGGATTGTGGCATGCCATCACAGGGGGCAGCACACACCCCAACCAAGAGATCTTATAACCCACTGCTTCCCTCTGCCTCTCCCAGGCAAGTTCCAAGGACACGGGCCAGCTGTATGCAGCTCTGCACCATCGCATCCTGGCCCTGCGCAGCCGCGTGGAGCAGGAGCAGGAAGCCAAGATGCCTGCCCCTGAACCTGGGGCAGCCCCGTCCAATGAGGACGACAGTGACGAGGACGTCCTGGCTCCGTCGGGGGCCACCGGAGGTGGTGAGCCAGTGGTCCCAGCCCTGGAGGGTACGGGGAGCCTGACCCAGGGGAATGGGGCTCCATCCAGGGTGGAGACCTGACGGTGAGGCCACTGCTTCCCAACAGGTGCCAGCGAGGAAGGGGATGGGCAGACGGCTGGAAGCACATAGCGCCGGGAGCCGGCTGCCCGCGAGCCTGCTGCTTTTCCGTCTGTCTGCCTGCCCGCCCGCCCCGCCCCACCGGCAGTGTGGAGGCGCAGGGCTCGGGAACCACACTCCCCGCTGGGTTGGCCACAGTTCGGATCCGCATGTCCCGTTCAGAAGCAGACTCGGGAACTGCCTGAATGTGGTTTGGGACACGAGACCTCATCATATTGATGAGCAAAACGAAAAAGAACATTTCTTCCCTCCCCTCCTTTGAATTGAAATGGCACATTAAGACTTGTCACGGCTTCTCACTGGGACTGGGACACCTTGTTTCTTCACCCCTCCCTCATGTTTCTGGCCTCTCTGCCGCCGCCCAGGCCACCGGCTCTGTCCATACAAGTATAAACACTGGGCCTGCTGGACGCTCTCTTAACTACTCCAGGTTCCCACACTCTGATTTGGGGCTTATATTTTTAGATCTTTTTTCCCCCAAGGCTTTGTGTTTGGGTTCTTAGGTTAAGACTCTCCTGTGCATTGAGCCACATCCCCCCTCCTCCTTGGGCTCCTGGGCTCTGTGTGGAGGAGAGTGTCAGGCCTGTACTTGTTCCCCCCACTCAAGGTTGCTCCAGGCCCAGTCATGGGGATTGGAGAGAGGTTACCTAAAAAAGGGTCACCGGGCCTGGGAGGGTCCCCAGCCACCCTCTGCCTTTCCCTGTCACGTCGGTCACCTGTCATCTGGTACCCAAGTGTACGCCTTCCTGCTGCTGGCCATTCCTTGCCCAGCCCTGGACGTCACTGCCTCCCAGACCATCCAGGACCAGGGGCCTCTGTGGTAGGCAGAGGGGGACCTTACCAGGGCCTTCTGAGGAGGGGGCAGGGGGACTGGTTCCAGGTAACCAACCGTCTCCCACACTCGCAGCACACACAGGAGCGAGTGCCATGCCCACCCCTACCTTGGAACATGGTCTAGAGCCACCTGGGACAGCCTTCGAAGAAGGGCCCTGTGCACAGGGCTCTGAGGGATTTCCAAGGAAAGTGCCCAGCGCCGCCCTCAGGGGGTGAGGGGAAGGCTTCGACTCCACAGCTGTGTCGCCCACACCTTGGGTCGGTTGTGTGTACCCCGAGCCTGAGCCATGGGAAGACACCAAAGGCCCTCCCAGCAGATCCGGTCACACTTCTCTGCTTTAAGCCTTAGCCACCTAGTGACAAGTAAAACCAGATAATGCCCATGTGTTTTGGAACATTTATGTAAGATTGTCATATGAAATGTATTTGGGAACTACATTAAAACTTTTAACTAAAACCCTGGCCTCCTGCATGCCCTAGGGGCCTCAGGAAGCTGGACAGCCTGGCCAGGAACAGCCTCCACCTCCCAGAGCAGCCTGGCCTGTCTGCGGGCCCCTGGCCCCTGCCCCACACTCCAGGTCCACCAGGCAGGTGACCGAGCTTGGCTGCCTTCCAAGACTAGCCGCCTCCATGCTGAGCTTTGCTTCACAGAAGAGCTGTTTGCTTCCCGGCCCCTGGCTTTAGGGTGGGGGTGCAATCTCAAGTGGTGGGAGGGGTAGGTGGGGGTGCTAGCAGGGCCAAAGATTCACTGAGCAGAACCAAGAGGAAGCCTAGTGAGGAGGGGCAACTGCAGAGCTTTGTGAGGCCTGAGGTCTGCACAGCACGGACTGGGAGGGCCTTACTCCCTGGGGTCCTGAGCCAGTGACCCATTCTCGGAACCTTTGTCCTACTTGCATCTAGTGGCCAAGCCAGGTCCTCTGAGACCTGGCCCAGCTGGTCCTGTGGCCTCCGCCTTGGGGGCTGCCTAGGTGAGAAAGGGCCAGGGTGGGGGTCCTACGCTACAGTGGGGCTGGCTGAGCAAACGTGCATGATGGCTCACAGCTGCCAGGCGCTGGTCATCATGGCCACAAACTCCTCATCTGTGTCCATGGAGGCGCTCACACCGCTGTAGTAGTCCTGGAATTCAGCCAGTGTGACCTGGGGGGCAGACAGGCTCTAAGTAGGGGCCAGAGACCTGGGCGGAATGGGTAGGGGTGTCTGTGGGCACCCACCTGCCCGTCCTTCTCGGAGGAGTCGAAGTTGTCCAGGAAGCGGCGGAGCACCTCCTCCTCGGTCCACTCCCCACTTTGTACCTTGGGGTGGGCGCGGCCACTGTACACCCCCCGGAGGTCATCCACGGTCACCACACCATCCCCGCTGCGGTCCAGCTTGGCAAATGCAGCTGCAATGACTGCCTCCCGGGCCTGGGACATGGGGGGCTGGAAAGGAAGCAGGTAGTGACTTAGTGACTTGGCGGGGGGGGGGGGTCTAGTCCAGAGCACTAGGGCTCCCAGGCATCAAGCGTCTGCACCAACACAGACAAGGCCACCGAGAGCTCGGCACACCAGACAGCAGGGCGAAGGGTCTCACCCGCAGTGCCCTCAGGAACTCCTCCAGGTCCAGCGTCCCGCTGCCATCACGGTCCCAGCGCCTGCACACGCCCTCCGCTTCAGCCGTGTCCAGCACCAGTCCCAGCTCAGCCAGGCCCCGCTGGAGTTCCCTGGAGTCCAGGGATCGGCTCCTGTCCCGGTCCAGGCGGCGGAAAAACCTTGAGGGGCATGGGGTACAGTGAGAAGGTGGTCCCTGGGGCTGGGGATCAGGAATGTTCAAGGGGATGGCTCACCTGGCCAGGCCCTGGATGCCCAAGGCCCCTCGGGACAGGCACTGGGCCCGGAGCTTCTCCACAGTGGCGTCCACGGCATCCATGCTGGGTCAGGCTGGCTGGGGGAGAGTTTGAGGAAGGATTCCCACTCGACTGACCAGGCTGTGGTCGGTGCCACAAGCCTGCCCTGGCCAACTACCTGTTCACCTGGCTTTCGACTACCCTGGAGTCCAGACAGCCACTCCTCTGGCTCCCGCCCGCTTTGCCCAGTGTTGGCAGCGCGGCAGGGCGGTTGCTAAGGGACAGTAGCTCAGGAGACTGGGAGGGGCCCCGGCTGTAACCCTCACCGTGCCAGTGCCTCGTAGCCCTTGGGGGGTGGGGCAGGGCCGAGAGGGACAAGGTGGTCTTGCTGGCACCACTGCCCACCCTGTCCTGCTCACTCCCAGCCTTGCAGTCCCCAGGTCTGGGATAGAGCCAGACCTAGATGGGGGGAGCAGGGGGGGTCCCCCTGCCTGGCCACAAGCAGGAGAGGTGGGCCGTGGCTGAGAAGGTTCCAGACCCAATTCCTGTGTGACCTGGAGCAGGTCCCCTGCCCCTTTTCACAGGGCAACAGCCAGAGCTGCTTAGGGATCCAAGTTCACAAGGGCCTGGGTCCTGGATTTCAGACCAGTGTGGCTGAGCCAGGACACAGCAGTCTTACGGATTGTTTCAACATGAAGTCAGACAAAGCAGTCCTTGGAAGTTATTCAGGGACCGATGTGGGGCTTTCAGTGGTTGGTTTTTTCAGTTTTCAAACATCACTTGGTCTTGCTCATAACAAGCTGAGAGAGCCAGGGGACTGCAGTTCCAAACAAAGAATTGGCCCTGACCCCCCAATGTAAACCAAGAACCGAGGCCACCATCACAGAAGGCCTCCGATCTATGCTTTGGACACCTCTGCCACCTGAGAGCATTACACTGACAGGACTGAAAATGATGTTGGATTTCCCAGGACATGAAATGTGGCCCCCATTGAGGGACCCATCCGCTGCAGGGACCCAGAGGTCATCAGAGGCTTTTCAAAGCCTGGACTTAGACACAGCACAATGGTGGTATTGGAAGTGCTGTTGCTGTCAGAAACCAACCCACGGATTGCACGCAGGCCCAGGTTCAGGCCACAGCTGATGCAACACTGTCAGCTTTATGAGAAACTGCGGTGACATTCTGGTGGCTCGCCGCAGTCCATAACTTCTTCAAGTGGGCAGAGAAAATACCCCATTGTGTTTTTCACGAGGGTTACAAAAATCATATTTTTTTTCCCATAGAAAAATGTAAGATATAACCACAGTTATTGTAACTCTTGTTTTGGCATCTCCTCATCTTGCAGAGAATCAGAATGTCAACAGTGACCCCTCCAGAACCCCTCCAGAAATTGGAAGTGGCCCAGGCCCTCGCAGCCCGGAGGCCAGTTGACTTTACACTGAACCTCACTTTCCATAGCTGTAAAGTGGGCCAAGCCGGGGCTGCAAAGATTAGACACACGCTCCAGTGACTGCAACTTGTTTCTCCCTGCCCAGCAGGACCCCACCCGGCCACCTCTCCACCCCCCACACAGGAAGAAAGGAGGAAGGACCAAGGCCAAGAAAACATTCAATTTATTCTTAAGCTCCGACAGGCCTCAGCCTGCCTTCCCCTCAGACAAGCAGCCCCCCTTACTCATCCAGAGAAAATGGGGCCATTGTGACTGCACTGAGGGGCCACTGTTAGACGCCAGGCAAGCAGGCAGCACCATCGGAAGGGCTGGGGACGGACGCTGAACTTTCCAGGCCAAAATAGGCCCTGCCCCTTGGCGGTTCCTGGTGTGACAGTTCCCTGAGTAAGGCGAGAAAACGGCTAGCATGGTACCAGGCTGGGCACTTCGGCTGGCCAGAGAAAGGCACAGGGTTCCCTGGTTTGATTTAAAAAAAAAAAACTAAACAAAAATAAAAACACAGCACCCTGAATGTCTCTGGCCAAGAACGGCAGCATAAAAAAAAAGAGAGAGAGAGAGAGTTTAAAAATAGATCCTCTGGACAATATAAAAAAGGAGCGAGCTGCTTGCTACAAAAGCTGAACTGGCTGGGGCTTCATCGGATGTGCTGGGGGCCCCTGGCTCCCTCCAGGGCCTACAAACCCATCCTGTTCCTTCGGAGGCCCCAGGGCGCACCTGGCGCTGGTGAAAAAGAACAAAAGCCCTGTCCTCAAGGAGCTTACATTCTGACAACAGGACATTCCTTGAAGAAAACAGAACGGGAGGGGATGAGTTCACAGAAGGTAGGCCGGGAAGGCCCCTGGGAGGTGACAGCTGAGCAGAGATCACGTGACACCTGGGGGAAGAGCATGGGTGGGGGGAACGGCCCACGCAAAGGTACTAGGCCGAGGGACGCCAGCACGTCCGCGTGGCTCACACAGGCACACGCCCTTCCTCCTGCGTTGAAAGTTGAGGGAAGGACAGGCGGGAAAGATCCTAGCATTTAAAAATTGTCTTCATATAACCAAGGCAAAACGACACAAGGCTTGAGGTTCCCGATTCCGGTCTGGGATGAAGAATAAGAAAAAGCTTTAGCCTGGGATGAGGGACGCTTCCACAGGAACGAAAATCAGGGCGGACGGGAAAAAGGACAAAGAACTTGATGCCGTCTGCCTCCACAAGTGACAGAGGTCTCAAACTCAGATGTTTCGGGGGCCAGACGTCCAGCCCTAAGAGATTGGAGGAAGCCAACTGGACCTCACACTTTGGCTAAAGAGGGTATCCTGAGCTCAGACCCAAGCAGGCGTGGCCAAGACTGAAGCCGGAAATCCAGATTTTTGCGAAACGTCGCCAATTTTTCAACAAGTTGATTGATTTAAAGTTTTGTTTTAAAAAAAGAAAAACAAGGGTGCCTGGCCAGCTCAGTTGCTAGAACATACGACTCTTGATCTCAGGGTTGTAAGTTCAAGCCCTACATTGGGTGTAGAGATTACTTAAAAATAAAATATTAAAAAAAAAAAAAAACTGTCTGGGCTAAACATCTGCCATTGGCCCTTGCGCTTCCTGTTTGAAACCCATGACTTTTTAGCAGGTTTTGATGCTTGGAAAGGATTATGGCTCTGCCACAGGGTCCCCTCAGGGACACTGGTGACCCCCGAGGACCCAGTGGACCCACAGCAGTGGAACTCTGTCTCCATTCTGTGATCTGCTCCAGGGCTCACACAGTGGTCCCAAACACTGCTGGCTGGAGGTGGTCCCTGTCTTGCTCTTCCCCAGTACTGTTGGCAAGGCGAGGACTGGGCCCACCAGGGAGGGGGTGGCCGGGGTCTCTGGTCGGCAGGGGCCCCAGGCGTTCAGCCTCCGCCAGGGCAGCCAGCAGCCCAGCCAGGGGCGGCCGGCGACGGCAGATGTCCTGCAGCAGCTCCGCCCGGGGCTGCAACTGCCCAATGAGCTCATCCCTCTGGCGCACAGCAGCCTGCAGGCTGTGGACAGTGGCCTCGGAGGTCAGCAACTGCTCCTGGAGAGCGGCAATCTCACTGGCAGAAGGCAAGACAGGGCAGTTACGGACAATCCTCCTCCCTGCCCCAGGACCTCCCGGGGCTCCCCATCACCATCGGGATAAAGACCATGCTCCTCACCTCTGCTTCGAGTCCCCCTTGTTAAGGACTGAATGTGTCTCCTCAAAATTCTTATGCTGAATCCCTACCCCCCAGTGTGATCTATTTGGAGATGGAGCCTTTGGGAGGAGCTCATGAGGGTGGGGCCCTCAGAGAAGTAGTGCCCTTCTAAGAAGAGACACCAGGGAGCTTGCTCTCTGGCCATGTGAGCACACAGCAAGATGACAATCTGCAAACCAGGAAGAGAATCTGTCACCAGGAACTGAATCTGTCGGTTGGACTGTCCAGCCTCCAGAACTGTGAGAAAATTTCACTTGTTTAAGCCCCCTAGCCTGTGGTATTGTGTAAGGGCAGCCAGAGCAGACTAAAACTCCCTAATCGCCTCCCTGCAATTCCTTTTTCCGCTACATCTTTTCCTGTTTGTTGCTCAGGTTAGATGGCTCCTCCTCCAGGAAGCCTTCATGTAGGCCCCCTGAGAGCCCTATGTGCCCTTCCATCACAACCCCAACCGCCCCATGCTGTAACTGCCTAGTGATGTGTCTGCCAAAGGGCTGTGCTCCGTAGGTCTCACTTAGGTGCTCCAGCGCACAGCACAGTACCTGACACCTAGCAGGGACTCGGTAAAGATGAATGAATGGGCCCAAGCAGCTCCTTTCCCACCCGGGGGCCAGCCCTCCTTCCACCCTGGGCGTTTGCCTCATCCCTTTCCATCCTCAGCGCCTCCTCAAAACTAGAGAGGCTCTTCAAAACTGCAGGTATGATCTCCTCCTCTGCCCCAGAATCTGCCATGGCTCCCAATACCTAGGAGGTCAGTGACCCCTGCACCACTCGGAAAGAGCCGATTTTGCATTATGGAAAAACGGGCTGTTTTAAGTTAGAAATCCACACTTGTGTGGCGCCTCTTAACTTTGCATGCTGGTGACTCATCCGAGGTTTTTGGTGTTTGTTTTTGAATCCAGCACCACCAGTAGCTCAGCCCACACGTGAACGCACGCGGTTCCCGCGCCTTTCCTCCCCTTCCAGTCTGGGCTCCGCCTCCGCCCACCTCCGAGAAGTCCACCTGGCCGCCCCGGGCCTCACCAGTCCTTGGCGCGGCCCAGCTCGTCCAGGGCAGCGCGCAGCTGTTGGTCGTGGCGGGCCAGGCGCTCGGCCTGGGCGCGCACTGTGCGCTCCGCCGCGTCCAGCCGCGCCTCCAGCTCCGCGGCGCGCCGGTGCACAGCCGCCAGGTGCGCGTTCGCCTCGCGGATCTGCAGCGGCTGCGGCGCCGACATGGCCCCGGCGCTGTCCCGGGCGGCCCGGAACCGGCCCCGGCCCCGCCCCGAGGCCGCGCCTCCGTGGGGGCCCCGCCCCCGGAGGCCCGCTCAGGACCTCGGCGCGATTGGCCGCAGCCCGATGGGCCGCGCCCTCCTCAAACCCAAGCACCCTCGCTGGTTCCGGCACCTGAAAACCCCGCCCCCGAGCCCGGCCTAACTCTGAGATTGGCCACGGTCCTGGCGAGCCACGCCCCCAGGCGGGCCGGGGTCTTCGGCGGGGCGCCCAGGTCAGGCTCCCGCAAGGGGACTGGTCGCTCCCTCGAGACAGGCCCCGCCCCACCAGGAAGCCGACACCAGGATTGGTCGGCGTCCTGCGGGCCCGGCGGCCTGGCCACGCCCCGGGCCGTGCCTCTCTCCGGTCCACCCGAACGGCGGCCCCGGATTGGCCAAGTCCCCTTCGGGGCGTGTCTCCGGCCCTGGCCACGCCCCCAGACCCAGCGCGTACCTCCTCCAGCCCAGGGCTCGCCGACGCCAGGCTTAAGCACTAGCCCTGGGACCCGTACCCTTCCCCGCCGCGGTCTGGCCACGCCCCCGGGCCTGGCCACGCCCCCAAACAGTCGCACGCGGTTCCGACCCCGCGGGACTGGCGGGGCGTAGCCACGCCCCCACGCAGATTCCGGCGCTGGGCGTGGTCACGTTGCCGCTGTGCCCCGCCTCCTATCAGCGGGAGCCCCGCCCCGCGCCCCAATCTGCGCTTGGAGATAGTCCCGCCCCTGGGCTAGGACCGCCCCCTCCGCCCGCTCCGGGAGTCAAACCTTTCTTAACCTAGGACCTTGCGAGCGAAACCTAGCGAGACCCGTCTGCCTTCACTGACGCTGGCTGACCTCAGTTTCTCCCTCCTGAAATCGGCTTGGGGGGTGCACGCGCGCTTCCTTTACGCCAGTACCGTGTCTGTGTCCGCGGCGCTCAATAAAGTTGCGCGCTTGTTGTCGGCCCCTCCGTGCGCGAGGCTGCGCGCGCCGCCCAGGAAGTCTCGCGAGACGAGCGGCGGCTGCCCTTGGGCGCGGGGGGCCGGCCGGCGGTGCGCTGCGGGGCCGGGGGTGCTCGCCATGGCGCGCACGCTCCTTCAGCAGTACCTGGACATCCCGATGGCACCGAGTGCCACCGCAAGACCTACGCCAGCACCGCCGTCAGCGGCGCCGCTGGTGAGCGCCGGCCGCGCCCCGAGGGCACAGGGTGCGGGGAGGTGGCCTGAGGTGGGCGCCGGGCCGTCCGGGGCGGCGCCGGTGGCTGGGTAGGCCTTGTGGGGCTGTTGGACTAATCCAGAGGGCGCGGGAAGGCGACAGGGCCACTGGGAGCCGTCCGACGGGGCCGCGCGGGCGCTGGGGGCTCACGGGGTGACACGTGGTCGTCGGGGGGTGTCGGGGGCGTCCCCGAGCAGCTGGTGCGTGAAGCGGCTCCGGCAGAGCTGGAGCGCAGCGAGGAGGGTACGTGTGACAGGCGGGTCACCGGGGTCATCAGCAGTCCTTGTCGAAGCTGTCCCCGGGCTCCGCGGAAGTCGTCGAGTGGGAGAGGGTCACCAGCGGGGTCAGAGGAGCTGGGGTTTCTTGAGACTTGACAGGGTAAGTTGAGGCCATTTGGGGGGGATTATGGGTAATTATTGGTGTGTCTCGGTGGGTAGAGAAGTTTGAGAACGTTCTGGAGTGAGACGGGATGGTTAGGGATACCTGAAGCTTTTATTGGGACCACCGAAGGGGTTCTGGGGTGCTGAGGGGGTCACAGGTGAGGCGCGTCGGGAGCTACTGCAAGGGTAGCCTTGGGAGGGCATAAGGGGGCTCACAGCCCTAGCACCCTCCTGCAGGGGACACGGAGCTCTCGCCCCTTCCCGTCTCTCTGAGGAGCAGGAAGGATGGTTTTGGCCACCTCCATCTCTCCAGCTCCTGAAACGGGGCCTGGCAGAAATTGAGTCCCCCCCCCCCCGCCCCGGGGGGCATTTGGGTTAAGGGGGCCCTAACCTGATCAATCCCTACCGTTTTCTGCGTGTGTAGTGAGAGCAACGATTATTGTGCCCATTTCTCAGAGGTGGAGGCTGAAGGTCAGAGAAGTGTGTTAAGTACCCCAGGATCTTTAGGAGCCGGTGTGCAAATCCAGGCCTGCTGATCTACTCATGAGGGTGGCCGGGGCGAGGACTGTGCCTGTAGCGTCCATGTGGAGGGGACTCAGGGGACAGGGTGGATGGGAAGTCCCTGCGGATGGGTCATGTGGAGTCTGCTCGAGTGGCAAGTGGTTGGGACAGTAGAGGCGCAAAGCAGGGTTTCCGTGGGGGGTGGGGGTGGGGCTGTAGGGGGATGTTACTCCGGCACATTCTTCCAGGGAGATGCTGGCATTGGGGGATGCCTGGCAGGACTTTGGGGAGGTTGGTCATGGTTGTGTCTGAAGGGAAATTAAAGTGGGAGGGGGTCGCCCAAGGGGCATGTGGGGCCTTCAGGCCGACTTGGAGAAGCGGAGGGTGTAGGGGATTTTTTTTTTTTAAGATTTATTTATTTATTCATGACAGACACAGAGATTGAGAGAGAGGCAGAGACACAGGAGGAGGGAGAAGCAGGCTCCATGCCGGGAGCCTGATGCGGGACTTGATCCCGGGACTCCAGGATCGCGCCCTGGGCCAAAGGCAGGCGCCAAACCGCTGAGCCACCCAGGGATCCCCGGTGTAGGGGATTTTGAGTCTGAGAAAGACATTAATGCTGGTGTCTGTGAGTGGGGGGTGCCCATGTGTGACCACAAAGGCACAGGCCATGGGGGCACTGAAGTCTCAGGAGGCTCTTAGGGGAGGCTAGGCACGTTCCAGGAGCAGGGTGCCACTGAGTTGGTGAGGAGCCCAGGGAGTGTGGGTGGGAACCTCTGACAGGTGCCACATCAGGCCGTCGCTGAGAGCCTCGGACTTGGGGTGGCCACCGGCTCCCGTGAGCCTTCGAGGCGTCCCTCTGCGTGAGTGCTGCTCACTTCGTCCGCCCGCGTTCCCCAGCTGGCCAGCTCCATTCAGCCTGCAGGACCTGGCTCCTGGGTCCTCCCTCACCTTCCCCTCCCTCATTCCCCATGTCCCCTGCAGCCTCACAGAGAGAACCCTCTGGTGTCCGGGCTGGCTCTCCTGAGATGGTGAGCCCCTGGAGTACAGGGGGCCTGTACCACCTCTAGCAGAGCGCGGCACCCTGTGGGCACAGTAACCCTGAATGGATCGAGTGAATGGATGAATGAATGAATGCACGCACCCAGTAACTCTTGATAGATGGATGATGAGTAGTGAGTGAGTGACTTAGGACACAGTTCATGAATGACTGTCAGTGAATGAAGGTACACAGCAGATGAATGAATGAATGAATGAATGAATGAATGAAGAATGAATGATGAGGGCACACAGTGGCTGTGAGAATGAATGACAGCACGCAGTCGCTGTGGAGGTGGGAAGAGAGGGTCGAGTGCACCGTGCCTGGAGGTCCTGGAGGTGACTGCTGGAGGCCGAGAGAGAGCCAGGAGCAGGAGGAGGCTGGGAAGGCGGCCTTTTGTGGGGTGATGGGGGCCGTGGAAAGGCCGGAGTCGGTAGGGCTTCTCCTGTGCCGGTGTGCAAATCCAGGCCTGCTGATCTACTCATGAGGGTGGCCAGGGCAAGGACTGTGTGTGGAGGGGACTCAGGGGACAGGGTGGATGGGGAGTCCCTGCGGATGGGATCAGGGGAGGGTGGGCCGCAGCAGGTCACCATATCAGATGATGGCTAGGAGACAGTGAGGTGGGGCAGGCTTTGACCGGGGATAATGGTGGACTCCTGGGTCATTCACTCCAGTTCTGGGACTTCTGAGGGGTTTGGGGTGGCGGGGGCACCCTCTGTGCGCAGTGTGGAAAGTGAACTGGCAGTCTGATTGGGATGGGCTGGCCCTGGGAGGTCCCTGTGGCGCCTGGGCTGTGCTGGGCGTCTCAGCGGGAGGAGGGGTGTGGCGCCTGCCCTGAGCAGGGTCAGCTGGAGGATGGGGAGCTCCGTGTTGGACTGTCTCTGGTGACTCGGTGCCAGCCAGGTGGGCCCTGGTCTTGCCCCCACACTGAGGAGGGTCTGGTGGGGGCAGCTGCCCAGGGCCTCGCATTGGCCTCCCCCCAGACCCACACGCCAGCCCGGAGCAGTGTTTGCTCAGGATGCGCCACGATAGAGCCTCGGGCCTCACCACCCACCTGGCGCTCAACTCCAGGCCCAGCCCCTCCCAGGCCCCTCGTGCGTAAAAGCCAGTGTCGGGCAGGGCAGCCAGGGCAGCAGCAGAGATGGAAAAGCTGACCGGAGTGGTGAGGCCAGGTGGGCAGGAGCGGCTGCCGACGCAGCCAGGTGTGAGGGAGGGGCCTGGGCCCAAGCTGCCAGCAGGGAGGGGGCCCAAGGATGACGAGCAATAGGCCTTGGCAGCCCCGGGAGCCAGCTCTCCACCAAGGAGGATTAGGCCAAGGAGCCCTGGGCCCCATGGGAGAATGGAGCTTTGGATGGGAGCGGGGAGCAGGGCCTGGGTGCCAAGCTCTGTGGGATGCAGCTGTGCTGTCTCTGCTGGCACTCGAGGCCAGGGAGCAGCCCAGCCCCTTAGGCCCCAGGCCCGTTCTCGTGTCCACTGCCTGGGGCCCTGTGCCCTGTGGAGGGTGGTGGGAGGCCTGGGGCCCAGAGGTGGTGTGAGAGCCCAGGTGTTAGGGCAGTAGGCGGAGCTGGAATCCCACCCTGGCTGCTCAGCAGCTGTGAGGCCCTGCGTGAACCCCAGAATAGTCCCTTCCTGGGTGCAGGGGTGGTGCTAGGAGCTTCCTGGTGGGTGCTGTGGGGACGGACGGAGAGAGGATTTCCCTCATAGTGGAGGGGGCTGCCCCCAGCCAGGGCCGCTCCTGGTCTCAGTGCCCAGGCTCTAGTCCAACACACCCCACCCGCTCTCGTCCCACAGGCCTGGTCTTCTCTGCCTACAGTGTCACGCTTCAGCCCCCAGACTCTTTCCTGGAGGGAGTGGCGAGGACAGGGCGATACACCTTCACTGCAGGTGAGCTAGCCTTGGTTTCTCCTTAGGGGCCCTCCTGGCACTGGCCCCTGGGCCCTGATCAGCACTCACCCCCCACCTGCACCCCAACAGCCGCCATCGGTGCTATATTTGGCCTCACCTCCTGCATCAGCGCCCAGGTCCGAGAGAAGCCCGATGACCCTCTGAACTACTTCATCGGAGGCTGCGCCGGAGGCCTGACCCTGGGAGCACGCAGTGAGTGAGCCCCCCACCCCTGACCTCCACCAGCCACGACCCCCCTGTTCTATCCCGGACCGGGGACTGGGCAGGGGCCAGGTGTGTGGCATGCTCACCGCAGCAAAGGAGAGGGCAGCCCCTGTGAAACCTTCCAGTGCTTTTCAACCTCTGCCACCACCCAGTTCAGTAATAATAAGAGCTGCTTTGCTTAAAAGCACCTACTGCATGTCTACCTCACCAAGCCCATAAACCCTCCTGAGGCTCCCTACGGCATTCAGCATGACCCCCAAGGCCCTGCACAACCCACCCCGCCTCCTCCCTCTCTCCCCCTTGCTCACTGTGTATGAGCCACACAAACTGCCTTGCTAGTCCCTCCAAGCCAGGCCCAGTCCTGCCCCAGTGCCTTTGCATGTGCTGTGTCTTCTTCCTGGAGTGCTGTTTACTCAGATGTCAGCACAGCTCCCTCTCTCACTGTCCAAACCCCCCTGTGTATGATCTGAGACCCCCCACTGCCCTCATTCCAAACCACCCTCCTCTACTGCACTTTGTCAGAGAACCCAAGGTCACTGTCTATCTCAGCCACTAACTGTGAATGGAGAAGGTGCACGGTCCTTGCACAGCCATCCCTCTCCGAGCGCCCAGAGCCCTAATTGACTGAACCCACAGCCCTGCAGGGGAGCTGCCCTCACCATCCCCACCTAGAGTTGCAGGAATTTGGCTCAGAGAGGGGGCTTAGGTGGTCCGAGGTCACCTGGGAACCAGCAGAGGATGCCTCCCTAGTGGGAGGCCGGGTGGGGGCCCTGCGCCAGCCCAGCACAGTGGAGCCGCCTGGAACAGGGAGCAGACGCCGCTCTTTCCACCTCCCACAGCCTCAGGGCTGGCAGCTGCTCCGGCCCACCAGCCTGCCAGCACTTAGTGGAAGGTTCCAGTCAGGCAGAGGGAGGGCACCATGGAGGGAGGCCCACGCATCCTGGGGTTGGACTCACCCCGCAGCCTGCCGAGGGCGTGAGCCTTGCACATGGCAAGCCAACCCCCCTGCCCAACGACAGCTCTCGGGCACACAGGGGAGCTCTGTGCTCTTGCATTCAGGGTCCCCAGAGCAGATATAGGCAGGAACTCAGCAAAGCGCCAGCCTCTCAGCAGCGCGGCTGCCCCCCACCCCCAGGCCCAGACTGACAGTGCAGGTTCCCACGTCCCTCTTGCCTCGGCTCCCGGGTTTCGGCACACATCTTCAGCCAGAGGGTCACCTGACTCCATCCTCGTGGAGCCCACGGCCGCGTCCCCCTAACCCTGGAGGGAAGGACATGCTCCTGGGCTCCCGGGGCGGCTGTGGGGGGCCCCCCGCACATGCCTGACACCGCCCTCCCGACTCTGGCAGCTCACAGCTACGGGATCGGAGCCGCCGCCTGCGCGTACATGGGCATGATGGCCGCGCTGCTCAAGATGGGCCAGCTGGAGGGCTGGAAGGTGTTTGCGCCGCCCAAGGTGTGAGTCCCGCCGCCTCCCGGCTCTTCGGGAAGGCTCACATGTGACTAAAAATAAATTATGTGGATACTTGTTTGTGTGAGTCTCCCCCTCCTCCCCTGTTCTCTGGGATGAAGCCCCATCCCAGGAGGGCTGTGATAGGGACACATCAGCAACAGCCCAGCAAGGGAGCGGGAGAGAGGGCATCTGGGTTTTTTCTGGCAGGGCCAGCGGCCCCAACTGGGGCATCTTGGGGGGAAGCTGGCCACCGCCACCCACAGCCCTTCCCACAGGTCACAGGCCATCCCCTCTCTGGGCACCACCCCAAAGCCAACAGCACGCAGAAAACACACCCAGGGCCCACGCACGGTCGGCTCCAAATTCCTAGGCATTGAAGCAGAGCACCCCAGACAGGCTGGCCCAGGAACCTTGTCCCCGTGCGACAGGTGGCTGACAGGCCACCAGGAGCCTGCGAAGCAGGGGCCTGTGTGGGGACAAGAGAAGAATCCTGATCCTCACCGGCCGCCACCTGTCAGGGCCAGTGATTTAGGGAGCCTCGGAATGCTGGCGCAGCCCTGGCCCCCGGCTTTTCCGCAGAACTGGCTCTGGCTCAGTGCTTCCTGGCAGCTGGAAAGGAAGGCTTGCTCCAGCATGTCGAGGTGGGCCATAAATTAGGGCTCTTGCGGCTTTACCCTGGGGAGCGGGGTCGTGCACAGGCAGGGATAGGGTCCTGGCAGGGTCTGGGCACTTGAGATGGCCGGAAGGCAGCAGGAGCCGCCCCCTGATGCCCCCTTCTCGCCCATGTCTGGCCCCCCTCCCTCCCCCTTTCTCCTCGGCAGCCCACCCTGGTGCCGACGTGGTTGGACGCCAGACTTGGAGCCTTGCTTTCAACTCCATCCACCCTAGGTCTTTGCTCAGCTGCGTGTCAGGCAGCGTGTGTGAGCCTGGGCCCTGCTGGCTTCAGCGGGCTGGCCTCACCACCTCATTACCCCATAGCCACTCAGTGTCCCGCCAGCGTGGGCCCTGGCACCAGCTCAGGGTCACGTCCAGGCCTGAGGAAGGCTGGAGGCCCCATGGGCTGGGAGGGGAAGTGGACCTGCTGAGCCCTGAGAGCGTTCTGGTGTCCCAGACCTGTGACAGTTCCAGCCCTTGGTTCTCTACTGACTGTATCCTCAGTGGCAAGTGGGGACAACAGGGTCCCTCCCTCAGCAATGTGCCGGGAAGAGGGAAGCACCCCTTCCATGCTTTCTGCGGGGAACGGGTCCTTAGGCTCCTGCACCAGGCTGGTGCATCCCTGCTGCCGCTGGCAGGGGGCAGAGCCCACCCATGCTTGACCCGCAGGTCCCCAGGTCCCCTGCCCCTCCAGGCCACTGTCCCCTCCCTCTTCCCACTCAGTCATCCTGCCCGCCACAGCCGGCAGACCTGGGGCAGCAGTGAGAGTAGTTTCCACGGACCTGCTGCTTCAGGTAGGCTTCAGGTAGGTCGCCAAGGGCTGAGAGGGTGACCTGGTCAAGGCCTAGCAGTTGGTCACTTCTCAGCCAGATCCACCCTGCCTCTGCTCCCTGGTTCTTTTTTGTTTTGTTTTGTTTTAATGTTATGTTATTTTAGAAAGAGAGCATGAGTGGGAGAGGCAGAGGGAGGGAGAAAATCTCAAGCAGACTCCAACTGACCTTGGAGCCTGACTCCGGGCTCGATCTCAGGACCCTGAGACCACCAAAACCAAGAGTCGGGTGCTTAACTGACTGCGCTGCCGCCACCACCACACCCCCCCACACCCCCTGCCGCCTTTATGTGAAAGCCAAGCCCCAGAGGAAAAGCAAAAATCCATACCCAGTCCCTTCCCACCCCCAGCCTCAGTTTCCCCTTCAGCCATCTCTGACCAGGACTGTGCTCTACACCTCAGCCCTCTCTGGGCTAGGTGCCAGCGTTGGAGCAAGCGTCCCAGGGCCCCCCAGAATGGGGCAGGAAGGAGTGGCTGCCTACTGGGCTCCAGGGAGCCCCCAAACCCGGCCCCCCCTTGCCTGTAAACATTTATGAGGCTGTAAGGGACTGACATCATCCTGCCCCACACGAAGACCCCAGGGGGCCGGCCCCTGTTTATAGCGTCCCGTATCCCCCCCAACTTTGCCTGGGACCCATGTCCTGCCCCAGCAGCCCCTGCTTGGAGTTCCCCCACCCCACCCTAGCTTGATGAAGCCATTTCCAGCCCCAAGCGGTCTGGTCTGGAACAAAGGGAGGAACTCAGAAAGCCCCCCACCCAAGGTAGGGGGGACTGGGGAGAGCAGGAGGGCTTCCTGGAGGAGGAGAAGTGGGGGGGGCGAGGGAGAGTCTGAACATCCCAAGGTGAGGTCTTGCTACATGTGCTTGAGGGGGAAGAAGATGGATCTGATCAAAGGGCTGACATGGGGGACGGGGCAGGGCCAGCGAGTGAGAACGGGCCTGCTGTGCCTTGCGGGGCACACACTCCCCAAGGACCCCATCCCTGGACACTGCCTGGCCAGGGGACACGTCGGCAGGGGCCGGTGGCCCTGCAGGCTCCGCCAGGGGTCTCGGGCTCCATGAGTCCAGGAAATGTGAGTGAGCTAAATGCAGCAGAGGAAGAACCAGGGCAGCCTCGCCCCGCCGCCAGGAGGGCTCGGGTGGCACCGTTGGCTCCTCTCATCCTTGCAACGGCCCTAGGAGGGCGCTGCTCTGGCTGGTGGTGGTTTACAGATGAGGAAACTGAGGCCCGGCCAGGAGACTTCGTGGGGCCTGGCTCGCAGCAGGCACATGGCGTCGGTTCTGTGGTTATTACCAGCTCTCATGGGGCACCGACCTGTCTCTGGAAGACTCCCCAGGAGGTTGCGATTGGAATATAATCCACTGGGACAAGGCCAGGTGGTCTCAAAACCACCCCCACCCCCGCCCAGAGTCCTCTTACCTCGGAGGGGCGCCTGGCTGGCTGAGTCGCCCAGGTGTCCCGCTCTTGATCTCTGCTCAGGTCTTGTGAGATCTCGGCTCGCTGCGTGCACGCATTGGGCTCCACGCTGGGCATGCAGCGGCTTAAGAAAATAATGAAAAGTTACGTTGCCCGTGGGCCGCGGTGAGACACACCGGTCTGCGGAGAAGGGCGCGTCCTTTCGCCCTCTAACCCCTTTGAGTCCGCCTGACTTTAGAACCTGTCCCGGATCTGCCCACTTCTCACTCCGTGGCCCCAAGCAGGGCCCAGCCCTCCTCACCCCGGGGCCACAGCAGTCTCCTCCCGCGAACCCACACTCCCACCCTGCAATCTGTCTTCCTTTTTTTAAAAAAAATAATTTTGTTTATTCATGAGGGACACACAGAGAGAGGCAGAGACACAAGCCAAGGGCGAAGCGGGCTCCTCGGTGGGACCATGCGGGGCTCCATCCCAGGACCCCGAGTCACGACCAGAGCCACCCAGACATCCTGCAAGCAGCCAGCAGAGGGCGCCCGTGAGCATCCGGGGCTCCCACCACCCTCCGAGTAGAAGTCTAAGTCCTCCCCGAGGCCCCCAAGGCCCTGCACAACCCGCCTGTCTCCTCCCTGCCTTCTCCTCCTTCCTCTCTACCCCTCGCTCACTCTGCTTGCTGTTCCTTCAACACACCCACCCAGTGCTGCCCCAGGACCTTTGTACTGCCTGTGTTCTCTGCCTGGAACACCTTCCCCAGACGTCCCCACAGCTACCCCCTCACCTTCAGTTCTGAGCTCAAATGTTACCTCCCCATTGAGGTCTCTCTGACACCTCACAGAACTGACACCCCACCCAGCCAGCAGCTCCCCACACACCCTTTACCCACTTCTAGTTTTGCCCATAGCTCTTACCAGCTTCTAGATCCCACGTCATTGTCACACTTATGGTCTCATGGACCGTGTGTCTCCTTGAGGTCTGGGATGTACCCTGGCTGGGTCAACAGCCAGCCTAGGAACACAGCAGGGCTCCATAAATATGTGGCCCAGCCCTGCCTCCTGGGTGCCAACCCTGGGTGTGGCGCCATTCACGACACCCCCATTAGATGATGCCTGTGGGGGTGGTTGTGGGGGGCAAGGGGAGAGAAACCGTCCATCACCCAAATCTCAAGTCAAGACTTAGAATCCACTTACAAGGATCTCCTGAGAACCTCTGTGTGCCACGCACTGCCTGGGGCCTGGGGTCACATCAGCCAACAGGACCAACGACATTCCTCTTTGCCGGAGCTCAGTGTCTGGTCTGAAGGGAAAAGTAGTAAAACAGCAGTTTTAAAAAATGAACAAACATGGGCACCTGGGGGGCTGAGTCGGTGAAGCATCTGCCTTCGGCTCAGGTTGTCATCCCGGGGTCCTGTGATTGAGCCCTGCATCGGGCCCCCTGCTCAGCGGGGGGGTCTGCTTCTCCCTCTGCCTCTGCCCCTCCCCTCTGCTCGTGCACTTGCTCTCTCTCTCTCTCTCTCTCTCTCCCTCTCAAAATCTTTTTTAAAAATGAGCAAACATGGGATCCCTGGGTGGCGCAGCGGTTTGGCGCCTGCCTTTGGCCCAGGGCGCGATCCTGGAGACCCGAGATCGAATCCCACGTCAGGCTCCCGGTGCATGGAGCCTGCTTCTCCCTCTGCCTCTCTCTCTCTCTCTCTCTCTCTCTCTCTCTCTCTCTCTCTCTCACTATCATAAATAAAGAAAAAAAATGAGCAAACATGTACACAGACGAGAATGTTTCACACAGAACTGTGCTCGAGAGAAAAACCAAATTGACACAAAAGTCAGGGTGCTGGAGCAGTGGGGTTCTCTAGCTGGGGCCGGTCAGGGAAGGCCCAGGAGAAAGCAGCCTTAGGGTGCTTGGAGGAAGGGTGTTCCAGGCGGAGGGAACAAAGGGTGAAGGCCCTGAGGCTGGATGGAGCCTGGGGCACCCCCACCCAGGTAGGAGGCCGTGCGGCAGGGTGGGGTGCACCATGGGGTCCCTGTGAAGTGAGAGGAAGGACCAAAGTCAGGGCATGTGTTCCCAGGTGGACACACAAGTCAGGGCAGGGACTGCTGTCGGGCTGCTGACTGCTGGGATACCATGTAATCTGTCCCACTTCCACTCTGATGCTTCCAGTTTTCACTTGGGAGTGAAAACACTTCCCTTGTCCTGGCAAAGGACCCCCCCCCCCACCGCCCAGAGCAGCAGCGACCCACCTGAATGCCCCCAAAGGGGCTGCTCTGGGAGAGGGCCTGAGCCCCGAATGCCTTGGGGCACCATACAGCATAGAGCACCCAGGAGCCCCGCTGGGCTCCGGGCAGGCCCTGCACGCTGTCCACGGGGTCCTTATCACAGAGGGGCAGGCAGGGGTCTTCTGACTCAGTGCTGGTGGGGAGCCTCAGCCCAGCGTCACCACCTCAAAGCCTGAAGCCAGCGTAGCCCTCACTTCGGGGGCCTGGAAGTGAGGGGCAGAGCTTTGCCCCCCAAGCCCCGGTCTGGCTTGACATCCAGGCCTCAGAATCCAGCAGAGGCCCCAGTTCTGTAGATACAAGTCATCCCAGGCAGCCCCAGAGTGACTTTGCTGGTGGGGAAACTGAGGCACGGAACAGCCACCACCACCCCCCAGGACCTCCGCTAGCTTCCCTGCAGGTACCCCTACCCTTGACTCTGGTCTGAGCACGGAGAGAGGCCTGGATTGGCCCCCAGCCCCACACCGGCGCTCACAGGTCCCTCCTCCGAGCCAGCCAAGCCTCCGGGGGGCTTCAGGGAAGGCTGGGTGGTCGGCCCCAGCCCAGCCCCGGCTCGCCTCCAGGAGCCCCGCTGGGCTCTGAGCAGTCCCTGAACCAGAGCAGGGAAGGCGTGAGCCAGGGCCAGGGCAGCGCCCTGGGGACCGGACAGGCCGGGGGCGGTCGGGGGTGGGGGGACTCTGAGCCCCGCTGGAGGGGCTGCAGGCAGACCCCGGCCTGGCTGGAAATTCTCTCTCTTTTCTGAAAAACCCATCTAAATGCTTTTGCTTTGCCTCCCCCACCCCCCACCCCCAGCGGCCTTGCTTAAAATCTATTTTACAGTTTTCTTTCTTTCAATAGGTAAAACCGGCTCAGACCACGGAATTTACAATATGCCAAAGGGTGTTCCGAAAAAATCCCTCCCTCCCCAGCCGCCCTCCCCAGAGGCCACCAGCCCGGTGTCTTGTTTCTCCTTCCAGCAATGTTCCAGGCCGAAGCAAACACATCTGTATGTTTTCTTTTCCTCCTACAGAAAATCTGCGGCGCTGTCCCTGCTGTTTCCATAGGCCTGGGTCCGCTTGCCCGACACCACATCTGGGGCCCCTTCCTGCGCAGCGAAGCCCCGTCCCTTGCTTTTAACGGCCGCATAATATTCCAGCCCGTGGCTGCTGCGCCCTTGTCCCCGTGAAAGCACCCCTCTTTGTCCCCCGTGTTTGGCTACTCGCGAGGGCGAAGCGATGACGAAGAGCCTGTTGTAAATGCCATTTCGCGTGTGGGTGAGTAACGCCCACGTGCTCCCTGAAATTTTTCCTAATTAACAATTAACAACTTGTGGGTTTTTGTTTTTTTTTTTTTTTAGAGCGGCTCTGGGTATACAGAAGAACTGAGAAGAGTCCAGAGTTCCTCTGTACCAACTTAGCCCCGCCCACAGCACCCTCATTCCTTAGCAGCTTGCATCGCTGCGCTGCATCTGTTCCAACTGATGAACCCCCATCGATCCGATACTATAAAGTTCACCGTTGACAGTAGGTTCACCCCTGCCAGTGGCGCCCATTCGGTGGGTTTGGACAGATGTGGCATGCCGGGTACCCACCTCCAGAGGATCGGAGTAGCCTCGTGGCCCTACATCTCCCCTGGGCTCTGGCCGTCCATCCCTCCCCACCCACCCCAACCACCCTGGGGAGCCGCTGATCCTTTTACCGTCTCCAGTTTTGCTTTTCCAGAATGTCACAGAGTTGGAATCCCATGGCGTGCATGGCCTCTTCAGGTTGGCTTCTTTCACTCGGTCATGTGTGTGTAAGGATCCTCCGTGTCTTTTTGTGGCTTGAAGGCTCATTTCTTTTTAGCGCCGAATAACATTCCATTGTCTGGATGTCTCACAGTTTATCCATCACCCACTGAAGGGTGTCTGGATTGCTTCCAAGTTTTGACAATTAGGAAAAAAAGCTGCCATAAACATCCGTGGGCAGGTTTTTGTGTGGACATAAGCTTTCAACTCGTTTGGGTAAATACCAAGGGGGTGCGATTGCTGAATCATACGGGAAGAGTATGTTTAGTTTTGCAAGAAGCCTCCAGAAGTGCCTTCCAGGGTGGCGGGACCATTTTGCATCCCCACCAGCAGGGACTGAGGGCCCCGTTGCTCTACATGGTCCCCAGCATCTGGTGCTGTCAGAGCTCCAGATTACAGCTGTTCCAGTAGGTGCATAGTGGTATCTATCTCGTGGTGGCTTTAATTTGTCTAAATGTTTAAATAACCATCTGTTGAGCCCCCACCTGGGAGACAAGCAGGGTTCCAATATCTTTTTTTTCTTTTTTTTTTAAGATTTTATTTATTTGAGAGAGAGAGAAAGAGAGAACCAGTGTTGCGGGGCAGGGGGTGTTGCAGGGGGAGAGGGAGAAGCAGACGGCCCACTGACCAGGGAGCCTGATACGGGGCTCAATCCCTAAGACCAACTGAGCTGAGGGCAGACGCTTAACTGACTGAGCCATGCAGGCACCCCCACCCCCCCACCCCCCCCCCCGTATCTTTAATACGACATGATTTCTTTGCAATTCAGGCTAGGAAAGAGGTGACATAGTACCCCATTTTGGGACACCTGGGGGGCTCAGTGGTTAAGCATATGCCTTTGGCTCAAGGTGTGATCCCAGGATCCAGGGATGGAGTCCTGCAAAGGGCTCCCTGCAGGGAGGCTGCTTCTCCCTCGGCCTGTGTCTCTGCCTCTCTGTGTGTGTCTCTTATGAATAAATAAATAAATAAAATCTTTAAAAAAAAAAAAAAGAAAGAAAGAGGGATACCTGGGTGGCTCAGCGGTTGGGCGTCTGCCTTCAGCTCAGGGGCATAATCCTAGGATCCGGGATCGAGTCCCACATCAGGCTCCCTGTGGGGAGCCTGCTTCTCCCTCTGCCTGTATCTCTGCCTCTTTCTGTTTGTCTCTCATAAATAAATTTTAAAAATCTTAAAAAGGGGATCCCTGGGTGGCTCAGCAATTTAGCGCCTGCCTTTGGCCCAGGGCACGACCCTGGAGTCCCAGGATCGAGTCCCACGTCAGGCTCCTGGCATGGAGCCTGCTTCTCCCTCCTCCTGTGTCTCTGCCCCCCGCCTCTCTCTCTCTGTCTATAATAAATAAATAAATAAATAAATAAATAAATAAATAAATAAATAAATAAGTAAGTAAATAAATAAATAAATATTTTTAAAAAAGAAAGAAATAGTACCCCATTTTACAGATAGAGAAACCAAGGCTCAGAGGGGGACAGCTTCTTGCCCAGGGTCATACAGCAAATGACGGTAGAGCCAGGGCCTTGTGACTGACTCCAGAGAACTTCCACCTGCAGTGTCCCAGGTCCGGGGCACTGGGGACACAGTGGTGAGCAAGGTAGATCCAGTCCGGGGGATCTGGACCCTCCTGAGGCTCCCAGTCCAGTGGGGGAGACAGACACGTGACCAGGCATTAGAACTCAGCCTGCATAGGACTGATGCCAACTAGAATCATAATGGGGTTGAACGGGCAGAGAGGGACCCAGAGGACTCACTGGGCCCGGGCGTCGAAGGAGGCTTCCTGGAGGAGGGGGTGCTGAAGCATGTGGAGGGGCTTCCCAGGAGCAGGAGGAAAAGAGTGAGCCAGGCAGGGGAACAGCATGGAGGATGGCTCAGAAGAAAGAATGGGCTGTAGCCAAGAGCCTGGGCTCCGGCGTGGGAGTCCTGGTGTCCGATCCCAGCTGTCAGCCCCTTCCCTGGGCCTCAGGTTCCACTCCTCAGGGTGCCTGTGCGGATTCAGGAAAGTCCCACAGTGACACGCTTAGCTGAGGCTGGCATGTGGGGAGCCAGAGGGTGGGAGGGCGCCAGGAGAGCCGGGTGGCCCTGCACCCCTGGCCTGGGAGGACCCTGCCCGGGAAGGGGAGGCACTACCAGGGGATGGGGGGGCAACAGGTAAAGGCATCCAGAGATGAAAGGAAATGGCAGAGCGTGGGTGAGGGTCTGCTTCCTGCCCCAGGCTGGCCCCTGGTGGGCCAGGACCCCCACTTTGCCCCAACTCACTCTCTAGCCCCCCT